CGCTAAAGCAGCGATGAATCATTAGATTGGACTGATAGCTATATTAAATAATAACATTATTATAATAAAACTATTATTAGTTAAGAAGGCTTTAAAGGATAAACTCGAAGAGTAGAAGAAAAGCATAAGAGCTGAGTTTAAAGCAATTCGAGACGTTGGTACACTAAAAATCATTCTAGAAAGACCTTTTCTCGGCAGAAAACTCACTTTTTCGAAACTCGTATTACGCAATAAGGTTATTAATAATAAAGTCGTTCGCAGAAAAGCAAGGCTAGTCTTAAAAGGATACGAATAACAAGAAGGAATTGATTACTTTAAGACTTTTGCTTTAATAATTAAGCATATTATACTTCGAGTACTACTTGCTTTCGTTGCTTTTAAAGATTTCGAGATTGATTACGTCGATATCGATACGGCTTTCTTAAATGCAACTCTTAAAGAAGATATATATATGTATATACCGGACGATGAATGCGACATTTTTTACGATATATACTTTAAATTGCGAAGCAAATTAACTTATATCAAACTTATCAAATCACTTTACGGTTTAAAACAAGCACTTAAAGAGTAGTAGCTCTTCGTAAAGAGTGAGATAGAAAAGAAAGGCTTGAAAAGCGCTTACGCCGATCTTAATCTTTTTACGTAAGAAAACAAAGAAATAAACATTATAGCGTACGTATTAGTTTACGTAGACGATATGCTGATTATAAGCAACCGCGCGGATATCGATATATTAAAGAACTAAATACTCGTTACTTAGAAAGAGAAGGACTTAAGCGCTGTAGATACTTTTATTAGACTACAAATAGAACGCAATAAAGAGCAAAGAACGCTGCGAATTTATTAAACCGAATATATAGAGAAGTTATTTAAAAGATTTAGAATAAATAACGCAAATAGAGCTAACCTTTTTACACTTGCTAGAACCGTTCTTAAGAAAATAAAATAAAAAGAGAGCGACTTATTCGACGAAAAGGAAAAGAAGCTCTTTTAGCAAATCATTAGCTCTTTAATATTCTTTACGAATCTTATTCGATTTGATATCGCTTATATCGTTAGCTAATTAGCACGCTATATATTATCACTTTATCGAGAACACTTTTAAGCTACAAAACTTCTTTTACGCTATTTTAAGAGGATAATTATAGACGGCATTATATACGGTAGAAAAGGGGCTTTAAGCAATAAGCTTACTTGCTATTCGGACGCTACTTAAGGCATAAAAGAGGACCGAAAATCCTTTTAGTCTTGGCTTTGCGAGTACTATAAAGCAGTTATAAGTTGGGCATGCAATAGACAAAAATCTACGGCTTTAAGCAACTTAGCAGCTGAAATAATAGCTGCAAGCGACGGATCAAGAGAAGTAGCTTGGATGTTAAAATTATTTGTTGATCTTAAAATAAACTTAGAACGACTTTTTATTTTGCGTCTCGATAATAAAAGAGCTGAATCATTAGCTTAAGAACTTCGATTTATAGCTAAGTTTAAGCATATCGATATTCGTTACTTTTATATTCGAGACGATATGATCAATTAAAGGAAGATGATTATAGAATACGTTCCCGGCGATAATAATATAGCAGACGCTCTTACAAAAGCCTTATCAAGCACTTTTTTCGAACGCTATAAAGGCCAGATAAGCCTTCCGCAACGAATATTATAATTGGAGGGATTTATAAGGATAAATGAGATCAAATCTACTAGAACGTAATTGGCTGGACTAGGAAATACTTTTATATTATAACGTAAGCTCTTAAGCTACGAAGCTATTGAACTTCTTATAAGAAAGATGTAAGTGCTATACGCTTGGGGCGTATTATAAGAGTTAATGAGGCCTGCTTATTATTATAAAGAAGGAGCTACTTGGAACTTTATTATAAAAGTTCGGTACAACTTCGAAACGAAAAATCAGATCAATTTGCAAGCTGCAATTTAAATTCAGTTGCAATCGTTGTTGTATTAAGAGTCAAAGAGCAAGAGGGATATTAGAATATTGGACTGTCATTTATATTCCTTTAGTTGGACTAGCCTCTTGGCTCTTTTGGCTGTTCCCTTAGGAACACCTATACTTAGCTCTCAGTACTCTCATACTGAATACTACACCTTCTGCACTTCTGATTCTATCAATTAGTTAAGTTTTTGATGTTCCTCGATGGCCCAAGCTTAAATGGATGCACTTAATCAACGTTACGGGCGTAATAGTGGGCCTTGACGTCGCAACTTTTGGGGCCCTTCCTTAAAGTGGACGAAAAAATTATGTCTCGCGAAAAAATTATATCCCGCTTTAACGCTAAAAATCGCGGGGAACGTAGACACTTATATTGCTTATAACATTGCTTACAACGTTGCAATAATATATATATATATATATTTAATAATGTTATTTATTTTTAATTAAGCTACGAAAAAATTATTTTATCGCGTGTTTTTTAAATTGAATTAAGAGATGCTATAGATCGAATCGATATCGAATCTTCTTTATCTTCAAGCTCTTTTTCAAGCTCTTCTCATTTAGTAAGCATTATTTTTGCTAAAGGAAACGAAAGTAAAATATTTAATCTTTTATTTTCGTCGTTATCGTTAATTTAAATGCAAAATAATGGATTTTGTTTAATTCGAAAGCGTTTTTCCTTTATAAGGATTTGAAGATCGATTGAATACGAAAGGTCCGCGAATATAGCAAGATCTTTTTCTTAAACTTCTTTTAACGCAGCTTTTTCGTTTGCAATTGCGTTTCGAAAAAAAATCAAATTAATATTATCAGCTTTTAGTTTTTTTGCTATAAGTTGCTTTTCGCGATCTCGAATAAGGACTTCTCGTTCGAGTGGAATATGTATAAGAATCCTTCGACCTTATTGCTTATACGCTTCGTTTAATTATTTCTTTCGCTTTTTTTCGGCTTTCCGATTAAAAACTTCTTGATTATAACGATCGTTTCGAATTTTAATCGTTGCTAACTTGAGTTTAGCGTTCGCTATTTTAAGATTAGCTTTTTGCTTTTTTATTTTTATAGCTTTGACTTTTTCGAGTGTTTTAAAAGCTAGTATATTCTTTTTCGTTTGCAAACTCGACTTTTTAATTAGCTTTTTCCGATGTGTATCGCGCTAAAGCTTTTGATTTTTATCGAGTTTTGCTTGATTAAAGCTTTTTCGTAATAATTAAGTCTCGGTACTTTGTTTCGCGATATCGAAGCGTTAGCGGTTAAGAAAAGAAAGAGCTATTTTAATTTTATCGTTTAGATCGTCGAGTTGCTTTACGTAATCTTGAAAAGATTAAAAAGGTCGAAGTAGCGTAAGAAAAGATAATTCGTTAAGTTGTTTATCGATTGAAAAAGAATATTTATCTTTTTTAAGATCAAACGTTTCTTCGTACTCGAGTATATGCAATCCCGCTTTTTTTTTTCTTTTTTTATTATACTCTTTTAATTTGCGTTAAATTTGAGAAAAGTTGATCGGCTATATTTTTGCATCTCGAAAAGCGTGTTTAATATTTCGAATTATAAAGGTTTGCTCGCGAATTTAAAGAAAGTCTTGTATAAACGATAAGATAGTATATTTAACTTCGAAGCTTCGAATAGCATTTATAATAGTATATTATTGATTATATTTCTAAGTGCGAAAGCAGCCGATATCGAAAGGTTGTAAAAAATAAGTTTAATAAAAAAGGAATTTGATAAGCTATATACGATTTTATTTAATTAATAGAATGAAATTTAAAGCTTCGTAATAAAGCTGATTATTAAGTAATAATATTATTTACGGTTTATCGGGTCTTTGATCGGTATGCTTAATAAAGTGCTTAAGCTACTTTATAGTAATTTTATCGTTTATATAATCGGATTCGGAAATAATAATAACTTTATATTTAATCATTTTTTCGGAAAACTAAGACGCTATAATTTGCTTTCCGAGCATAATAATCATTAGAAGAATAGCTTTTCTATCGGCAAGAATAGCTTCGATTATAATTACGGATAATCGATTTTTATAGATTTTTATATATATCTTTTTAATTCCGATAAGTACGATAACTTTTTTTCCGGCTGGCATATAAATCTGCGCGCTTTTCTTATTTATATTTGCGATTTTATACTTATCTTTAAGCTTAATTCCGCAGAACTAGATAGCAAGAATAAGCTCGGTATAGAACTAGTTAAAAAAAGATTTCTCGGTATGCATATCAACGCGATAAAATGCGATTGGTTTAGTTCGTATAGCATAAAGTTTTGCTGTATTTCTTAATTAAGATTGAAACTAACGCTAAGAAGGTTTTGGCTTATTTTCTTATATTTTAAAGTAGTAAATGCATCGATAAAGCATACGCTTAATAGCTCTTTTCCCTCTTTTAATTGCTTGATCTACGGCGTAGATTAAAACAGCTTTGTGCTGTGCTGCTAATAGAACTATAAGCCTTTTTACTTATAGCGCTTTCCTTTCTTTTAATCGAGCTTGTTTAGCTTGATACTTATTCTATTTTCGCTTTAAAGTATTAAGCTTTTTTATTATATGAATGCGACTCGCAATAAAAGGTGTTTCGAAAGGGTTTTCGAAGAGCCATTCGAATGCTAGCTGTATTCGCTTATGTTGAGAAGCTTTTAAGAGCTTTTGGTATTTAAAATTAAGATCAAGAAGTGCAAGAGCGCGCGCGCGTTTTTTGCTTATTTTTATTTAGGTACGTGAGTCAATGTTTGATAGAAAATGTTATGTTAAAGTGTTGTTGAAGTGTCTACGTTCTTCGCGATTTTTAGCGTTGAAGCGGGATATAATTTTTTCGCGGGACATAATTTTTTCGCTTACTTTAAGGAAGGGCCTTAAAAGTTGCGACGTCAAGGCCTATTATTAAGTTAAATGACCGCATTTTTAACAGTTTACGGTCTTAGCCAGGATCCACATTTAGCTCAACATTATATTAGATGTGATAAGAGAACCATACAGAAGACATAAGATTGGCATCGATAGAACCGTGGGAACACGACGGGCAACCTTCTCCGCCACGACCTACCAGCCGAACGCTTCTTCAATCAGGTCCACCTTCAGTCCGTCCTTCACACAGCTCACCACCTCTCGCGTAGTCTCGTCGACCATGCGACCAGGCCCGCAGACCATGACGGTGCTGCGGAGACCGGCTTCGACGGAAGACCGCAACACGGATCTGATATCCATTCGCCCCGGCGACACGACCGTCCGATGTGCGTGCCGAGGGACGGCCCCTAGCTCACGGCCGTCCTCAGCCACAGCTTCAACTGGCGGCTCGGGAGAGCCGCGGCGCCCGGTGCACCAGAACAGGTATTCCACCCCGGCGCGGTCGTCTCCGTGGGGAAGGAAGTTGGACGTGACGTGTTCGATGAGAGCCGCTTCCGTGGCAGACCAAGCGAGGATGAATCGGGTCGCCTTCTGCAGAACCCCGCTCGTCTTCGCGGCGGGCGGTTCCCCCGTGGGCCCCGTGGAGCGACGCGCACGCGTGTATTCGTGCACGTGGCCGAGGGCGGCGCTGATGCCAATGCCACCGACGATCATCAGGACCGTATCGGCGGCGAAGAGAGGCTGGAGAGTGGCCCGGTGTCCGGCATAGGGCCCTTCACTGTACATCGCCAACTGCACGCAGCCAGAGGGCGATGCAAGCACGCGTTGATGAAGCGCGGCAGTCATCCCACGGTGCACGCGCACAAGGAACCGGATGGACGTGTGCTCGTGGCATTGGGTGTGATGCGAAGGAGCGGCTTCCTTGGCGCAATCCTGGGAAGATGATGCATCCGAGTCGGTAGCGACCGAAATGGCGATAGCATCTCCCGATTCCTTCTCTTTCGCAGTCCTGTCGGAGAGAGAGGCGGGAGCAGGCCCCGGGTAAGACCGGACGGATACTTCCTCTCCGGCTCTCGTCCATCCTGCAACGCTGAATGGATGGTTCTCCCAAAATTTAGCACCCAGCCCCGGGAGGTAGAGCGAGCTGTCCGGAAGGTAGAGGTAGCTGTGCTGTCCGGGACCGAATTTCCAGACGCGTGGAAAAAACGTGACCTGCAAGACGTTGCACCCAGGAACCGCCTCCACGATGCCCATGGACTTGCCGATGCGGTTGTAGTAGATCACACGCGCTACCCGGGCAAATCGGTCCGCGAGCCAAAATGCAAAGCAGATGTAAAGCCAGGTCTGATATCCGAAAACATATCCGAAATGGATCACTAGATGGTACCAACAAGCGACCAGCGTCAGGATGACCAGGGCGATGTGGGTGATGAGGAATGTTTCGTAGAATCGAGAGCGGAGCGGTAGAGCTGCGAAAGCTACTGCCAAGCACATCGCTATCGTCGCGACCATTCCCATGTACTGTAGAGACGGTTAGTGACGAGGGGAGTTGAGGGAGATGGAGGAGCCTACAAAGTAAGGCATTGCGGCTTTACGGGCATAGCCGGCAGCACCTCCCTGCCCTGGTGTAAAAGACTGCACGGTGAAGACAATCGAATGAACGACGGCTTGGAAAGCCGCTACCCTCGCTGCCCATCGGTGCAACGCCAAGAAAGTCGTCTGACTCCACCCGGTCAACAGGACCAAGATACTGTTTCGACCTGCGAACAATATTGCCAGAGCCATGTTGACCAGACTGAGAACACCCGTCCGGTTTCCAATATACTCGCACAGTTCTGCCCCAGATGAAGTCCAATAGATATTGGGCTGGAAGCTGCGAAAAGAGACCGAGGAGAGGACGATGTTCATGACGATATACAACGTGATGAAAGCGCTGAGCATCCTCCCAGGGACGTAACCCAGGTTGCCCGGGACTGGTTCCAGATGGCGGGATCCGAAGAGCGCCGGAAGAACGAGATACTGCTGAAGTTTGGCCCACAGACTCGATTGCGCAAGCAGCGCCTGGAAGCCTGCACAATGGGCTCTGGCCTGCGCCAGAAGTCCTGCCCCGACTATGAGACCGATGGTGATGAGCACGAGGATGAAACTGCGGGCGATCTGTGAGCACGGTGACCCCAAGGCGAGAGCTGGGCCGGGGAAGTACTGACGCGTATCTGGCATGGATGTATTCCGCTCTTGCGAACTCGGCCTCGGTCCCGTAGGTGGACTCGTACGTGTCGCGATTGACCAGGCTCGTAGTGTTGAGCCACATCGCATCTGCCGCAAGCTCGACCGTTGGAGCCTCCGGAGGTAAGCTCTCCTCGAAAGCCGGCGTCGGGGCTCCCATGACTGCGTGTTGGCGGAAGCATGTCACTTGCTTCTCGGCGGGAAAGCCACGGGCATCGCAGTTGGACTTGATGCAGTAAGCCATGGTCTGCAGCCAAGGGCTGTTGCTCGCGTAGCATTCGGGGCTCGTCGTCCCCGTCGTGGCCATGGTCGTTTCCATGTCCATGTCCATGTCCATGTCCATGCCCATGTCCATTTCCATTTCCATCCCCGGGGACATGTCACTGGAAAACGTCGTACAGGAAAGATACAGAGCCGACAGTGAGTCGTAGCAAGCCTGACAGCACTGGTCCTGGTAGTACGAGATTCCGAAGCCAATGATGCCATGTCCGCTCTGTGCAATCGCTACGCGCACGGCGAGCAGCAGGAGCAGGGTGAGAGAGGAAAATGCCATGGTGAATCGGTCGTCGTCGAGTTGTGAAAATTAGAGGTACGCAGATAGGTAAGTAGGTAGGTAGGCCGGTAGGTATTACTGTTATTGACATATAGAGCTGTATGTCTGTTTGGTTACCGATTCCAAGAGGATCTGTCTCTGTACCTGTCTGGTCCGAGCCATATGATACTTGGCGAGTCTAGATCTGCCGCCACACCTCGTCAGCACACACATATATATCTATATGTACATATACATAGTATACATGTATTTATATACAATCCATCCCAAGTCGCGTTCTTCCGTTCCGCACGCCATGGTCATTGTGTATGCGAACGAACCGAACAAGACACGATGATACTCGCCTGAAAACCGTCTCTGCGTCCGAGAGACAGATTGAGCAAGTTTGGGCCACGTCGGGGCCGACCAGCGAGTCCGCGCTGTGCTCGCTTATCCCAGGGCACCCGGCCGTGTATTCAAGCTTCGGGGAGAAAGCTTGAAAGTTGATACTCGTCATACCGCCATGCCTATCCGGTATACCTACATACAGTGCTGCCCCGAAAAAGCGAGCAGGATATTTCGATAGGATATGGAGTGAAAAATATCCGTTTCTGTTGTGTTGGTTAGACACACACACTTCTAGGCGAAGGAAGGAAGGGCGACAACTACCGGTACCGTGTCGTAGCTCGGCCCAGCTACACAATGACTCGGACCCGGCCCGGGTTTGAAGGGTGGTGGCAGATAAGATGATGGCTGGCAGCAGGAAGAGCTACGGAGTAAACTAGGTACTATATTAGTTAGCATGGAATGGATAGCGCTTGCGTACAAAACATCGTCTTCTTGGTCCTGTTCCCCATAAAAGTACAAGGAGCTCTGAAACACGGTAGTGACACAGGCTGGTTTCGTGGCTCGGGCACAAGAGCAACATCCAAATAAAAATAAAGATAGGAAATCCCCCCCCATTCCCTTCCGAGGTACGCCTTTTAAAACTTCAGATGACTTCCACATCCAACCTGATCTTGCGCCTAGGTCGCTACACCAAAAACTCCCCAATTTCCCATTTCAGCATCTTGCCGGCATGCTAGGTAGTCCGTAGTTTGTCGCTCGTAGTCTCATTGCTTTCCGCACTTCTGAAGGTCGACGAGCGGATAGGCCCCTTGAAGCTGCTCGCCCTCGCCGTACTTCTCCGCCGAAACTCTCCTCTCATGTCCTTCAGGGCATCTTCTCCCTGCGGTCCCAGTTTCCCTATTTTCGCAACAAGCGTCGTATTTTCAGCCTGAAGATCGCCAACTTGGCCCTTCAATATATCTCGCTCCTTCCGCAAGAAAGCGGCTTCTGCCTTGATCTCTTCCAATTCCCTAAGCAGCCGAGCTTTGCTGTCTTTCTCGGCCGCCTTCTTGCGCCTATCCTCTGCTTTTCGCTCCTCCTTCTGCTTTCTCCTCTGCAGCTTGTCGACTTCCTTTTGGTATTTCTCTTCCTGCTTCCTTTTTTCTTTTTCGTGCTTGTCTCCTGCCTTCTTGTTGGCAACCCCTTCTTTGGCGCTATCCTCGCTTTTCTTATCCAGCTCCTTCTGCTGGTTTTTCGCGAACTTTTCATCAAGCTTCCGCTTCTTCTCATCCAATTTCTGAAGTTCCTTGTCTGAAAGAGCTACTGCTCGTACCCGGGCAAAGGAGTCCGTGGACTTGGAGGAAGAGGCTTCGTCGCTGTCGTAGTTCTCAAGCGCTGAGGCGAAGCTACCAGCAGAACTGACACTGCTGATAGAAGATACCGAGTACTGACGTGGAGTCTCAGTTGATTTCTCGGGGCTCACATTAATGCCATCCAAGCCGCCATTGGAGTGGTCTCTAGGGTTCTTGTCGGCGGGCGTAGACGCCTCCTCAATTCCAGCTAGATGGCCATTAGTTTGATAGTTGTACAATTTCCCTTCGTGATCATCTTTGGGCTTATGTTCATGCGTTAGCGCGCTCTCCTCTTGCGAAGCTTCCCCGATCGACCCAAGTTCGTCGTCGCTCTCCAAGCCCTCTATATCTTTGCCACAAGCCCAGTCCAAGAATTTGCTCGCGTCCGACACGATGCCTCCTGGTGTCCCTCTTTCGACCATAAATCGGGGTACACTACCACCGGGGTCGCTTCTTGTGATCATAATCCATTCTATCGGATTGCACTCGCTCTCGTCGTCTTTGCGGGCGACATCCATATCCTCCCCGTTTGCATCAGAGCCTCTCGACCCATCAACTGATATCGTTGCTCCTCTGAGCCTTCCATTTTTGGAAGGTGCTGCTTCCTCTGTCTCTGATCCACCATCACCGCCGTTGGGAGGGGGGTTCGTGTTGTTTGCGTCGCGCATGATTACATCTTTACTGTGTTTTGACGAGGCTCTGCCCCGTATGGATGGAAGATTTGAAGTTGACGCAGACTTTGTAGGCACTTTATATATTGGGATTTCTCGGATAAACTCAATAGACTCGTATTGACCGCGTATAAAACCATCACGAGGTGGAGTAGCAGGGTGACTACATGGCCTCGAAATGACCATGAAGTGCCGAGGAACATCCTGCTCTCCACCTGATCGGTCTGAGAGTGCTTGGTCTGAGCTCATGAACATGGTGACGAAGTCGCGAGGTGTTGTTGGTCCCGGAAATTGTGCGGATACAAGATACACTGAATACATTATTAGCATCTCGTGCTCCACTACTACTGTCTTGTTGCCTACCTTCCATCTTCCCAACGCCTTCCACATTCTTGTATTCCACACGTTTCTCTCCGCCGATACCCCTAATGTTGCCCTCTCCAGGTCCCCCTTGCACTTTCATTGTCTCTGGGAATTCTCGTTCCAAGGCCCTTTTCCACCTTGTGAAGCCCAATCCCTCATGAACACTGCGCCGGGCAAACCAGGCTCCTCTGCCATCATTGCCGCTTGCTTTGTATACGCTCATACCCAAAGGGTTGTCCCTTGGGTTTATCTTGACTTGCTTCCATTGTTTCTGTAGGACTTCGACATCAGGCGGCGGAGGAGTCGGGCGAGCAGAGGAGGAGGTGATTTCGGCGGCAGATGAAGCCCAAGGACTCGCGGGTGAGCGTCCCCCTTGTGGAGAAGGATCCCCTGATGCAGCGGGAATAGGGACCGAGTCAACAAGCAGTTGCCCTTTGCTGAACGTATGGGAAAGGAAAGGCTTGAGGTCGTCTAAGGAGATGTCGGAGATGTCCAAAGGGCCGAGAGACTTGAGTGCGTCGTGAAGGGCTGCCATGCTGGGATGGGCTGTCGGGGCGAATGAGGAACACGATGAATCTGTTCGTTTTCCTTTTCTTTTTTCTTCCTTTCTTTTCTTTCTTGTGTTTTTTTTTCGCGATCTAGCCTAGCTGGATTGGACAGTCTCTGGGATTGATAGAATATAAGCAGCCGTACACAAATTGAGTGAATTTGAATATAGATTGGGTGAGAGAGTGTCAGCAAGTTTAGTGTACGGGTTCACAATTAGGTTTCTAGAGCAAGTAGGAATGAGTCTGTAGGTACCTAGGTAGTTGCACTCTGTCCTACCGTGGGAACTCAGGCCCGGGAGGATTTACTTGATACGAAGCTTACCTACTGGGAGTGGAGGAGCCAAGTACCGGTACTTCCGCGGACTGAGCTGAGGTAAGCATGTGGCTCGGGCGTGGCTGAACCGAAAATAAGGTTGTAAGTACTTTGCTTGTATCACAAACTCTAAACCCCGTACAGATCCCGAGCCATCTACCTATCTACCTAGGTATCCTACGACTTCGGTCGATTACATCTCGGACGACATGACTCGACACAACAAACCCAACACAAAACAATAATCAACACATCATAACACTACACAATACAACATGATCCAAGCTGTGATGGTGGTTGCGAACTGATCCATCAACAAACATGTCGGCGCCCGCTGCTCTACCAGCCTTGCCCCCACCACAGTCCGCCCGACCATTGAGCCTGATACCAGTGGGATTGAAAGGTAAGGAAAGCACCGAACCTTTTGCCACCATCACCGACTGACCTGCTGTGCAGAGGCTTCTCTAGACAGCCCCAGTTACCGCGCGACTGCTGCACACTTCTCTGACCAGGTTGACATCGTCGAAAAATGGCTCGACGCCTACGCTAAATCCATATCGAAGCTCGTTCAGGATGTCACATCTCTAGATGAATCCTTTAATGCCTTTCTCCTCCGTTCCGTCCCTCCGCATAATGTCTCCGAGGCTGTCCTGGACCATGACTATACCTTGCTCGCAATGAAGAGATTCGGGGAGGGCTCGCGGGAATGGTGGTCCCAGGCGATTACCGGGATGAAAAGGATGGACACCAATATCGTTGATCCTATCAAAGCTTTCATGGTCGGAGAGCAAGTCTATTCGGTTGTCTTACTCTCGGATTCTTGCTAATAACATTCACAGGCTCCGGAATTTCAAAGACGCCAGGAAATATCTGGAGCAGTCACAAAGGATCTTTGACAATACCTTGGCCCGATATGTAAGCCAGTCGAAAACCAAGGAGCCCTCCTCCCTTCGAGAAGATGCCTTCCAGGTCCACGAAACCCGGAAAGCCTATCTCAAAGCCTCGCTAGACTTCTGCATCCTGGCCCCACAGCTCCGCTATACCATAGACAAGTTGTTGATAAGGGTGTCCTCGGACCAGTGGCGGGAAATGAGACGTATCCGAGATAATAGTGGTGCCAGCTTTGCCCAATGGAGCAGCGAGATGGATCGTGTGAGAGGGTGGAGTAGAGAAATGGAGGCAGGGGAGAGTGTCTTCAGGCGGGAGTTGCAAATTGCGAGGCGGGAGATTGCAGAGACTGCTTCTCAAGCCTCCAAGCCATCCCGAGAATTGGAAGACTATAACCTCTCCACGGTGGTACGACACCGAAACTCCTGGGTGGATCACCTCAGCAGACAATGTACTTGCTGACGAGAAACCAGATTAATGTGTCATCGAAAGGCCCCTCCGCAGTCAATATTCTGCAGGGTAAGGAAGGAGAGCGTTCAGAAAAACAAGGATGGCTATTCCTACGAACTATCTCGGGAAAACCTGCTCGAGCTTCATGGATACGGCGATGGTTCTTTGTTAAGAACGGCATATTCGGGTGGCTTATTCAGGGCTTTCAATCAGGTGGTGTCGAAGAAGGGGAAAGGATCGGTGTCCTCCTATGCAACGTGAAGCCGGCAGCCCAAGAAGAGCGACGCTTCTGCTTTGAGGTCAAGACTAAGAATCAAAACATTTTGGTTCAAGCGGAGACGCAAGGCCAACTGATGGACTGGCTGGAAATCTTTGAGGTCGCTAAGAACAAGGCTCTGCAGGCCAGCGCTAGCAACGATTATCCACACCCAGGTGGCTTGGACCCGGCCTTCGCAATTACACCTCCCCCAATCCCTGAATTCGCTGCAAAAACCATCGATGGCCATGTGGCCCACGGAAGCGAGGATCTCTCCTACACAGGACAGGACAGGACAGGCGCATTGTCGATTCCCGGGCCTGATATGGGTAGTTCGGCTGCTAGGAGCAGCTTTGATGTCAGCGCTTTTCGCCGATCAACCAACACGAGAGAAGACGGTGAAAGCGGCAGGGATCACGCGACACGCATCATGCAGAAGTTGGATCTTCATAGGAAGAGTACAGTTGCGCCGGCCGATCCACCTCCAGCACCTGCTCCAGTGGCACCAGGTGGCATCGCCAGTCTCATATCTGCGAGTCACAACATTTTGCCAGTATATTCGACACCTGCCATCACCCAACAAGGAAACTTCACTTCGAAGCCACAGCCAGTTCTACTACAGGGTAAGAGTACGAAGCCCCATGCTACCAGCACGTTGGCCCCATCTACTCTAGCCAATCCACCGGCCCCTACTAATCTTTCCAAGTCTGCTGTCATCATCAGTGGTGAGAGAGGCATTGGTGTTGGCCGAAGTGATGCCACCGGTGGGATGCCCTCTGGTATAATGGCAAACCTTTGGGGAAGTAGCAATTGGGGATCTATGAGCCAAATCGGAGAGGGTGAGATCAAGCCGCAGGTGGCGAATCGTTCCGTACCTCCAAGTCCAAATTTGAAACCATCGCAGCCTTCGCCAGAAATAGGTAAGATGGAACCTCCGCAATCCAAAGAGTCGCTTGTCGATCTGAGACTATGTTCTTGGCGTCTAGAAGACGAGAGCATTACCCAAGCGTCTTCAGTGGTAACTTCGCTGACATGCCTCTAAGGCGATGATAACCGTAAGCCCGATAGTGAAGGCTCCGATGTTCCGACGTCGGCCAGCGCATCAACTGATCCCGTTCCGCAAGCTCCTCTGCCTGCAGCCACCCATCGAAAGACAGTCAGCGCCGACGTCGAATCTGCTCGTCTGCAAAGTCAATTGGGTCCGGAGCCGGAAGTCTTTCCTACCAATTACCCTCTGGAGCTTAAAACCCAAGAAGCACAATTCCGTATGCTGTTCCCAAATGTCTCAAGAAACGATAAAGTGCTCCTCGTCTTCCGGGCCGCTTGGAATCCAAATGAGGAACAGGAATTCCCAGGTAGAGTCTATGTGACACAGCATGATATATATTTCTACAGTCACCATCTTGGTCTCGTTCTCGTTTCAGGAGTCTCCATGGAAAGCATCATCGAGGTCACAGCCGCGCCAGGAAAAGATTGTGACTTTATGTTTCTTCACCTTCACGAAGATGCTGCCTCGGGAGGCTCTACGAGGATAACGATCAAGACGTTCTTGGAGCCATTGCGATTGCTTCAATGGAGATTGAATTATTTGATAGACAGGTCTCAATCAAATGAGCCTCTGAGTAAGTAACTGCCCCTTCTCTAGTCTTGGGACTCTGTGGTGTCTCTCCGGAGCTGACTCCACACAGATCTCGAGAGCACCATCGCAGCATTGATCAAGATGGAGGACGACGATCCCGCACGAAGCCCGAGTATGGAAAGCTGGGAAGACGTATCGGTCAATACGCCTATCGACAACGGTACCTTGACAGGCCGAAGTCGCAAAGGCAGAGACCTACGCTCGGCAATCCATGCTGGGAGTGGGCTCCACCCGGGACGACCGAATAAAGAGGTTACGAAGATCCAGCTACCATCCAAGCCAATTGTTTATGAGCCCCGGGACATGCAACGGAAAGCGATAGAAAGGCAGTTTGATATCAGCCCCAAAGCACTCTTCCATGTCATGTTTGGCGATAAGAGTGCAGTCTTCCAATTACTCTATCACGAACGCCGAGCGCAACGGATTGCGCAGGGTCCGTGGGTTGCTGTTGAAGGAAGCCAAATGCGTCGCGACTTTCAGTTTCAAATCGACTATGTCGACATACTCCGTCGTTCCAGGCAGGCGAATATCATCGATTATCAGATCATCGAGGTAATGAACGATCATGTCTGCTACGTTATCACCGATCGCAAAACTCCTTGGCACCTACCACATCATAAAGATTTCATGTTAGTCACCAAAATTGTCATCACTCACGTTTCGAAATCCAAGTGCAAGCTAGCAATTTATACCAGAGTCGACTGGTCCAAGGCACCGAAATTCTCCAAAGGCCTCGTCGAGAGACAGGCCCTCGATGACTCGGCCTTGGATGCCGACGATCTGGTGGATGTCATCTCAGACCAAGTACGAAAATTAGGACCACACAGCAGAACCAAAAAAGCAATTAACATTTTTGGGCATGTCGGCCAACGAACCTCTGTCGCCCTGTTCTCAGCAACAGAGTCTGGTAATTCAAAACGCCCGCAGATTAAACATCGAACTCTCACCAATATGCTATTTGAGACCCTGGGATCTTTTGCCGAGAGCTGCATATCGTGCATTATGATGTGGGCCTTCGCAGCACTTCGGTCTCTCTGGCAGATCTTAAGTGCGAACAGCATCATCTTGACCGCACTTCTTCTTAGCTTGTTGACAAACGCTTTCCTCACCTCACGAGACACGTCGGAATGGTGGTCGGAACGTAACGCAGCGAAGTTCATGTCTAGAATTGGCGTTGGGCCAAATCCGATCATGGGGAAATCCGTGTATCTGAAGGATATCGACGACGCTTTAACATCCGTCCCGACTGAGATGTCCAATCGGACGGGAAGCAAATGGTAGGCCGAGCTATTCTTCAGACTGCAATAACTGCTCACCGATAGACAGCTATGACCATTTCAGGGATATTACCAACGTTACCGACTTGGACTTGCCTTATCAAACAGCCGGGTCTTTATTCTCAGGCAAGGCAACACAGTCAACCGCCCGGCGGCTGCGACGTACGCGGCAACACTTGGGCTCGTACCGACACGATCTCATGATCGCAATGCGCGTGGTAAACACCGTGGAACGGGAAATGCTGAAAGCCGAGTGGGAAAATTGGCTCTTGGATGAGAATGCACGCTGCAAACAAGTGCAGACGATGTTGCGGGATGATCGGGCGACTGTAGATAAGCGAGAACAAGAGGCAGAGTCTCAACACATCCTGGAGGTCAACGAACGGGGTCGGCTGGACAAGCTGTGGAAATGGCATGACGATTACTGCGGCAGCTGCCAACTGGAGCAGGATTTACTGCTCACAGGGAAGAAACACCTAACTTTTGGGTAAGATGGTGTATGATTGACAGATTGCACGCGTGGAGTGAGTGTACATGGAGATAGTGTAGGGCGACTGGCATATACGGGAGGGTCTGGGTCTTTGTATACAAGTTAGCAAGGTGCAGTTAGGTTGGGAATGATTGTACCGGTACTCGTACGGAGTAAACCCCGAAATTTCCCGAGACATGTTTGTGGTCTGTGAAGCCGTGCAGCCAGTCCCATTTATTAATTAATAACTCTTATTGGTGGTTAATGGTTAGGATCAGGTACCAAAGGAGCCGAGGCCCGTTGAAGATCGAAGGGGCTGATGACGATCTTCTCGGGCCTTAGAGCTTCAAGGCTGAGTTGCCGCAGTACCGGTCCCGGTAGCGGTACCGACCTGGGTAAGTCATTGATTGCCGCGGCCATTATACCGGTAGGTATCTGGAACACGGATGAAGGTAGATCAATGGCAGTAAGTAGTCGGTACTTATGCACAGAGGGCAAGTAATTTATCACCGAAGAAAGGTATACGTAGATATCTATCTCTCGCTCTGGAAATACTGTATATATCTCGATGTATATACTATGTATATACCATACCGTATATCGTGCCCCCATGCCTACCCCCACAACTTTGTTCCCCCCCCAAGGCTTTTTGTGAATAGCCGTACCTGGCATATGACCCTCACTTACTTCTTACTTCCCCACCGCTACTGGCTATACGCGCTCTATTTCCACTGCAGCTCAATTCCCATCTACATCGTCGTCCACCAGCAGAGCACAACACGCACACACGACAAGCACGTCCGTCCGTCCGCCGCTCGGCCTGCGCCCACCAGTTCACATCCACATCTTCATCTTGCTCTTCCTCTTCCTCTTCCTCTTCATCCTCATCCTCATCCTCGTCCTCGTCCTCGTCCTCGTCCTCGTCCTCATCCTCATCCTCATCCTCATCCTCATCCACCCTCACTTACGCTTGCCGAATCCCCCAAGCTCATAGCTACGAATAGCCGGCGTTTGCGATACTTCTTTTCATACGCCGAGCGGAGTGCGATCCAGTGGGTGTCTGCGGTCCGGACGGGCTCGAGGCGCATGGCGGGGCAATAAGTGGAAGAGTTGGATGGCCCTCGGCGACAGCATGTCTTCCAGCCAATCTTTCCCGCCGTTCAATGAGCCGGTATCCTTGGACCTGGAACAGTTCCTAACGGTAACGGACAGTCGACATACGCAAAGCGACTCGCTCGCTATCTCACCACAGATGGATGTGCTCGGCAACCCTCAGTTCGCAGACTTCTCTTTCGACGCATTTCATACAGCGGAAAATGGACTATCAGAGGATTCGACCTACAATCTCGCGAGACAGAATCTGGGGTCCGACCGTAGAAACTCAGTAAAGTCCCTTCGCCAGGACCACCGGGGTTCTGTTGCTTCCATACCCGACCACCGGGCTTCCATATCCTCCATTGTTCCTCCTCTACACCATGCTGGCCTTAGCAATGGGCGGCAGACGGGCAGTGATGGCTCGGATGATGCAAGCCCTGCGAGCACTCGAGCCGGTGGTCTACTAGATGGAGGTTTCAACGACGAGTTTGGCCTGGGCAATGGAGCTGTGGATGGGAGTGATTTGGGGTCCAGGATGAAGGAGGACAAGAACGATCCGCATCCTCCGTGGAGCGAGTTGAAGACCAAGGCAGGAAAGGAACGCAAGAGGTTACCCCTGGCATGCATAGCATGCCGGCGAAAGAAGATTCGTTGCTCGGGAGAGAAGCCGGCATGCAAGCATTGCCTTCGCTCACGTATCCCCTGTGTTTACAAAGTCACTACGCGGAAAGCCGCACCCAGAACTGATTACATGGCGATGCTCGACAAGAGGCTGAAGAGGATGGAGGAAAGGATCATCAAGATTGTGCCCAAGCAGGAACAGGACGCGACGACAACACCTGTCACTAGAGCCGTTGTAAAGCCGGCGATCCCTGGCACGACCCCTAGTAGGAGTGCGAGTGGGAAAAAGCGCGTGGCTGATGAAGCATTCGGCCAAGAGCTTGAAAATTGGTCGAGATCCGCCGCATCAAATCCAGTCGTAGGTGGAGCGTCGAAACCAGCCATACTCGTGACGCAGGAGGCTGAAGAGCATCGACTCGTAACCGAAGGTGCCGAAAAACTGCCAACGAAGGAGCTTCAAGAGCATCTCTCCGAGACTTTCTTTGAAAACGTCAACGGTCAAACGTATCATCTATTACACAAACCCAGTTTTATGAGAAAGCTTAGGTATGACCAAATTTATACCCTTGCAGGTTCGAAATGCTGATCTCCATTCCAGAGCCGGGACTGTGCCTCCAGTCTTGATACTAGCGGTCTGTGCTATATCTGCACGCTTTTCAACACACCCAAAGCTCAATACATATCCTGCGTTCCTGAGGGGCGAGGAGTGGGCAGCTCCGGCTCGTGCTATAGTTGTGAGACGGTACGAGTGGCCAAACATCACCATCTTGACCTGTCTCTTGATTCTCGGCCTGCATGAATTTGGGACTTGTCAGGGCGGTAGAAGTTGGTCATTTGGGGGGATGGCGCTTCGCATGGCCTACGCATTGCAGCTTCATAAAGATCTCGACTACGACCCTCACAAGCTTAATGGGACAATTGAACTCAGCTTCATAGATCGCGAAATCAGGAGGCGTACGATGTGGTCCTGTTTTCTCATGGACCGCTTCAATTCGTCTGGAACTGATCGCCCGATCTTCATCAAGGAGACCTCGATGAAAGTGCAACTCCCGATAAAAGAGAAGTACTTTCAGCTGGACATGCCAGGGCCAACTCAAAGCCTCGACGGTGGCGTACCGCATCCGATTCCTCCCGGCGAAGGTCAACTTTCCGATGCCGAGGAAAATATGGGCGTTGCCGCCTACATGATCAGATCCATTGCTTTGTGGGGTCGTATTGTCGAATACCTCAACCTGGGAGGCAAAGCCCAGGATCCGCACCCAATGTGGCATCTGGATTCAACTTACTCGCGTCTCGTTAAGCAGGCGGAGGCGTTTGAGACATCCCTCCCAAAATCCATGCAGTATAACGCGGAGAACCTCCATACCCATGCGACCGAAGCTCTTGCTAACCAGTTCTTGTTTCTCCACCTCTCCATACAACAAAACATCCTCTTCATGAGCAAGAATGCCGCAGACCAGCCAGGTGGGCGACCGCCACCCGACACCCCCAGGGAGTTTACCACAGAAGCAGGCAAGAAAGCTTTCAGAGCCGCGGAAAGGATCACAGAGCTTCTGCGAGAAGGAGAGTCTCACTTCATCACCGCTCCGTTCACCGGATACTGTGCATTTTACTCTAGCACTGTCCACGTTTTCGGGTCTTTCTCCAACAACCCTGCCACGGAGGAAGCATCCAAGAAGAATCTTGCTGTCAATGTGCGATATCTGACCAAAATGAAAAAGTACTGGGGGATGTTCCATTGGATGACCGAAAGTCTCAAGCAGCAGTATAAAGCGTGCGCCGACGCTCGTAGCCAGGGAGCACCTGCAAACACGGCCCAAGCGCCTCGAATTTTCCAGTACGGCGACTGGTTTGATCGGTACCCTCACGGAGTCTCACATCCCGACTTTGAGGATCCGGCAGTTGGGATCACGGTCGAGAAGGGTGACGATGCCGTCTACGGAGAGAAATCTGGACTACATACCGTGGAGCAATTCTTCGGTTCCCTCGAGTCGCCGCAGACGCCCAACGAAGGTGCCAAAAACGGTAAACGCAAGGTACGGAATCACCAGCCTGGCAGGCCGGATCAACCCGCTCCTGTCAATACCAGTGTTTCGAACATGGGACCTGGAAGTATGCAGATGCAACCACAGAATGTCCAGGTACTCCCAGCATTCAACTCCATGAGTCCTACCACGCCTGTGAATATGTACAGTCATCCGCAGCAGCAACCATGTTACTACGGCCACGACATGCTTCGCCCGCAACAGCAAAACATGCTGCCGCAACTCGACCGCCAACTTGTGTTTGGGGCCTATGCCAACATGGATCCGGCCCTGAATTCTCAGAACATGCTCGATGGTCACGGATGGGATATGCAGATGAACGGCGGTGGTATGCCGGGATTTGTGACAGAGCCGAGCAGTGCGTGGTTTATGCCTTTCAACATGGAACCCCCGGATCTCGGACTGGATCAAGATGTTTTTAATAGCGTGGGTGGCGCGTATGCGATGGGCGGCGGCGGTACGTCGATAATTAATAATGATGAGAATATAGGCAACCACATGAACGGATGATCGGGGCTGTGCCATGGTGTTTTGGTGTTTTGGTGTCTGCATATATATGATTGCTGAGTTCAGCCCTGGATGGATCCGTTATGAATATTTCATCGACTGGGAGGAATGACATTTGATACTGGTGAGAAGACCTAGCTAGGTAGTTTTTGAGCGGGACCGCGTAGAGCAGCCAACATTGGATGTAAATCAATGCATCTTTCAACACATTGCAAAATCTCAGATAACAACACTCTCTTGGTTGTGAATAAACTTAGAGGCCGACCTGAGCGAGGCGAAGTGGAGTTTCTTTCGCTTTCAGATCGGTCGGCGATTTGTTGATTCACAGCACAGACATGTATAAAATGAGTACTTCCTCGCTATACGCTTCTTCTGGATTTTGCCATTCCCTACACTTGAAATAAATGATTTCATACAATTGTATAGCCTACCCAGCTCTTCAAAATCTTCAGCCTACACTTTCCACAACTCCCTTATTCTTCCTCGACCTCTTCTTCTTCCTCCCGCCCTTCACAATATTGCCTCCTTCTCCTTCCCCCTCACCATCCTCTGCTGCCTTGTCCGCGGAAATACTGGCATCCGGATTCAGCACAACAATCTCGGGCCCATCCTCGTTCCCAAACGTTTCCTTCCTCCACTGGCGCAGCCTCGCCTTCTTTCCAAGCTTCTTCTTGTCCTTTCTCTTCTTCTCCGCATCCCGGAACGTTGCCATCTTCTTCAAGCCGGCGAACTCGTTCAGCGACGCGTCGGGCGCCATGAGGATGTCCCGAGCCGTCAGCCCAAAAGAGGTGGGCGAGGTTTCGCGGTAGCGGAAACGGGTTGGTTGCTTGGATTTGCTGGGTAGGTCGAGATCCATCTTGCTGTCGACGAGCTCTTCCAGTTTTTGGCGTTCCAAGCGAGCAGCTTTCCGCTTAGCCTGCTTCTCTTGTTGGCGTTCCTTGCTTGTTTTGGACTTCTTGGGTACACCATTGTGGTCATCGGTCTCGTCCCCAGGTTCGGAGTCGTCGGAGAGCGTGAATTTGGGTTTTTGGGATACATGTTCGTCGAACTCAGGGATCAGGTCTTGTATGTCAATATCGTCCTCCCATTTCGGTTTCTTGACCTTCTTGCTGGATTTCTTGCCTGCGTCGTTATCATCGTCGTCTGATTTGGCCTCGAGCTCAGCGTAGTAGTCCTCCCCGAATCGCTTGTTCATCTCGGATTCCCATTTTTCATCATCCCAGCCGTCATCCAGAAAAGCTACCCATTCCTCGATCTTCAGAGTCTTTCCTCGCAGCCCTGCAGCTTTTTTGATCTTTTTGAGTTTCTCCTCGGCCTCCTCGATCCTGAGCCGTCGCAATTGGGCCCTCTCTTCATCCTGGGTCTGTCTTTCGGCTTCTCGCTTTTCGCGGAGGTTGTCTCGCTGCCTTTTCCTCCCTGTCGCTTCTTCTCTTCGCACGGACTTAGCAGCGATTATATCTCTTGCGAAAGATTTTAGCTTCTCGTTGCTTCCCTTCTCATCTTCAAATCGCAGATTGTAGGCCTCCTCAAACTTTTCCGCACGCTCGTCCTCCTCGTCGTCGTCTGACTCTAATGGCTGGAAGCGTGCTCCGTCGCTCGGTACCCAGGCACGAGCTGCCATAAAATTGGAAAGGAAAGTCTCCGGGTTCTTGTCAGCAGAAGCAATGTCAAGGTTGACCTTAACCTTCGCTGCTCTCGAAGGGTGCATTCCTTGGCTGACTGGCAGAGGTTTCGACTTCGCAACGAGAAATCCATCCCCTTCATCGTCAGAACCTTCTACCGCGGCATGCATTTCTTCTACAATTTTCCTCTGCAGCTCGTCCTGTTCTTGTACGAACGTTCGGGGGATCTCGTTCTCCTCTTCGCCGGCCTCCGTGTGACCCTTGAGCAGGTTTTCCCGATGGTAATCGCTCAAATACATGGGCTTCTGTTTTTTTTCCTTGGATGCATCAACTTTCGGATCCTCCTCGTTCTCTATGGGGGTGTAAAATAAGACGTCGGACTTGTAGACGCTAGGGTCCTTATTACGGATTGCATTGAGAGCGGTCGAAATCTGGGCGTCCAGTTCCTCCGTCACAAGAATGCCATCGTCGTCTTCCTCTTCGTCATCAGAAGATTCTGAGTCTTCGTCGTACTTGTCACCATAATTGCCATTTTTCTTTGGAACATTCTGGTATTTTTCCTCGACTAAGATAACGTTAGTAATGGCGGCCAGTCTAGATTGCAGCGCCAGATATACTAACGCCTCTGTCGCTCTTCTCTCTTCTTATTGTATTCGAACCGCTTCGCGTACTCCTGGTTGACCTGAAATTCAGGCTCGTCGATGTCCAATTCAATTTGGGCCCCTCCGTCGGACTTGTCGCTGCTACTGCCCGAATCGCTATCGTCCAGCAAGTTGGCCTTTTTTTCCACGGCTAAGGAGCTGGCCTTAATCTTCTTGCTAGAATTTGTAGCAGACAGACTGCCTAGGTTATCTGCGTCAGCCTTTCGTTTGGCCATCTTAGTTCAGTGTTGCGAGTGTGGATGTGATATTCTGTGGTGATCCTTCTCATGCGTCAAGCTTAAACAAGAAAAAAATATGTCGGGCTAAATATTCCCCGCCCCGTGAATAGTGGGCCTTCACGCTAAACCCATTCCAGACCAAGGCATCGCAGCCGTTTGGCGTCATCATCAGCTGGCTTTGGGTCGAACTTGAAGATATCACTTCACGCCATCAAGGGTCGGTAAAAATAAGTAAACCTCGAGCGCAATCGCGAAAAGCAATACCTAAACCCATCCTAACCACCAATCCACCCCTTCCCCTTCCCTTCCGGTACCGCGCAGTTATTCTCGATACAACTCCACCAAGTATCCGACCTCCCGCAACAGCTCTGATGGCGGAAGCAACGGCCCCGAAGCCTAGCAGCAGCGTGAAGCTGGTCCTTCTAGGCGAAGCAGCTGTAGGAAAGGTGAGTACTACTTCTATCTTCACCAATAACTCTCAGTGGTAGTACCATGCTGATCAAGCCGTAGTCTTCGCTGGTACTGCGCTTTGTGAACAACGATTTCCAGGAGAACAAGGAACCAACAATCGGAGGTACTTCCAACTCAACAGGCACTCTCCTCCCCCCGCGATGACTGTTACTGACTGTGGATATGATAGCTGCCTTCCTCACACAAAAATGCAATCTTCCCACGAGAACGATCAAATTCGAGATCTGGGATACCGCGGGACAAGAACGCTTCGCATCTCTCGCTCCGATGTACTACCGAAACGCCCAATCTGCTCTCGTGGTCTACGATCTCACAAAGCCGACGTCGCTCATCAAGGCAAAGCACTGGGTTGCCGAGCTCCAGAGACAGGCATCGCCGGGAATCGTTATCGCCCTTGTCGGAAACAAGCTGGATTTGACGACTGAGACGAGCAGCACGGGCAACAACCTGTCCGAAGACGGAGAGGGGGCCGATGGCGAGGACGCTGATGGAGATGCTAGAATGGTGCCGACCGCCGAGGCGAAGTCATATGCAGAGGAGGAGGGGCTGCTGTTCTTCGAGACGAGTGCTAAGCTAGGCACCAACGTCACTGAGGTTTTTACCGCAATCGCGAATGCTATCCCGGAAACGTCGTTGAAGGGAGCTCGGGGAACAGGAGGAGCCGCGCAGGCGGGTGCAGGACGGACGGAGGATCAGTCCAGAGTCAAGCTGACAGGACCGAGAGATACTGCTTCGAAGGAGGGTTGCGCTTGTTGATGATAGACGCGGTGCTATTCCGGGTTGGTTCCTTTTTGCTTGTACTGACGATTCGGGTTCTGCAGGCGCTTGATTTTTTTTTTTAGATGCTTGTGAGCGTCTTTACACGAATTTATGTTGATACAACACAGACCGTGGTGCCTAGAGCGATTTCAATTGACACCCTGATCGCAGTCACGGCGTGAGCAACCCCGAGGTAAGAAGAACGACACCAGGCTGTGCTCGCTCACATATCATGCTAGGTCGTATGAACATGACTGCAAGCCTTCCCAGTTCATCCGGACTGCTTCGTCTTTTGCATAAGGCCTGCAGAACTGCCAGCCAGATTCCATCTCCGCCATCGCATTGGGATAGGACAGCAAGAGAGAGCGCCATTTATCTAATCAGTCCAGCCAAACCAAGCCGCCTCCGACTGTCCTGTTCCGACCTGGCCTCCGTGTCTGTCTGTCCATAACCTCGTACATCCCACCCTGTCTATCTACCTCCCTTACCTCCATCTGCCATCTCTTCAACACCGAGTACCGCTTTAACACATCGCTCGTAATGGTAACAGTCCTGACGACAAAGTTCGGGCTCACTTCATCCTCGGAAGAAATCTATCTATCTAGTGGTGCTTTCGTCTTTCCGACTAGGGTTCCGCCTCTTCTTTCCTTCTATCTGTTTTGGATCCTGAAGATTTAGTTTTTATTCCTTGGTTAGTTGCCGGTTTGGATAGAATAGATGTGTACTTGCCGATGTGTGTTCGCTGCTTGCTGCCTTTCCTTTTCCCGGTTTCTGGTTGCGAGGTACTTAATATTCTCATTCTCATTCTCATTCTCATGCTCATTCTCATCCGTATTCTCATTCTCATTCTCATGCTCATTCTTCACCCCAGTTCTTCCCGTACCTTAATCGATCTACCTAGCTGATCCATCCGGTATAGATAGATAAATAAATAAATAAGTAAAATAAATAAATACATAACTAAATTTCTAACTGTCCCCGTGCGAGACTAACCTACTTACTTACAAACTAATACTGTTCATTCACTCATTCACTCATTCATCCATCCATCCATTCAAACATCCCTACTCTAGACAACACGCAACATGCAATCAATCGCCCCCCTCCCCTCCGAGTCCCTAGGTAGGTAGGTAATCCCAGCCTATCTTTTCTCCTTTTTCTTTTTCTTCTCCTTCTTCTTCTTTTCTTTGCTTTGCTTTTCTCTTCTTGTTACTACCTTCCCACCTTACTTACTTACCTACCTACCTACCTACCTACCTACCTACCTACCTACCTACCTACCTACCTACCCACCCACTTACTTACTTAACTATTCATCCACCCATCCAACCCGCCCATGAGCAACCAGTACTTACCTACCAACCTACCTACCTACCTACCTACCTACCTACCTACCCAGCAACCACCCCATTCTCACCTCACAAAGGGACAGCCCAGTCCATTAATTCTTACCCACCCGCCCGCTCGCACACTCGCTCGCTACATCAGCGTCCAATAGTTGTCGTAGAATGTACTGCCGCAGGGACACAGAGAGAGAGGGATGGTGACGGTGAGGTATGTCCTGCGTCAAACACAAACAAGGGACGACGGGTTCCTTGGAGCGTGGGTTTGGAGGTTCCGGTTGGTGAGCGACTTTGCGAGCAGCGAGGTGCGAGGTGCGAGCTCGCTGAAATGTATGTTTCGTAGGGGCGGGAGACCCGTATATCGACAGACGATCGATCAGGAGAGGAGAGAGAGGAGGGGGGGAGAGGGGGAGGGAGGGAGGGAGGGAGTAGCGTCATCTGATTTTCAGAATGATGATTACTCATTAACATTTGGAGGACCTGAATCTGCCTGTGATACCAATACATGAGTTATACACCCGGTATTCCAATCACGCTTCGCATTGCCGGGACCGCTCGGGGTAGAAAGTACACCACGAAGATGCCGCTCATTGCCACTACGAGTCCAGTGAACTAGATCGAGGTTAGCTTGCTTCCACGACTGAATAGGTAAATAAGCCTACCTTTTCAAACCATGTGTGGAAGTAGGCTGCAGTCATGAGAAGCATGTAGAGACACAAGCACCCGATTCCCAGGATAATCTTGGCCCCGAGGGTCCACGGATCAGGACCAGCGTCTCCCGGTTGGGCTTCGACTTCCGCACTCTTCACGGCCCCGTCGTTCATGGCTATGGTTCGCTCCTCCTTTGCGCCTCTGGACTTCAAGACCACATGGAAAACCTCCTCGAACAAGAACATGCTACCCAGAACCAGCAAGAACACATGGCCGCTGATATCATGACCACCTTTCCACTCCCCACCTACCGCCTTGCACGCCACCCCCGTCACCAACTGCCTGGTATTGTCCATCTCGATGTCTCCCACATCTGCCTGCGCCACCAGCTCACACTGGCCTCCGGTGAGCATGAAGCCACGGTCGATAATGGCAGGCCCGAAGAACCACTGCGTCACGAAGATCCACCAGCCAGTGACGATGGCGTATCTGAAAATCCCGCGCAGCCGTTTGGGCGTGAGGGTTAGGGATGCTGGGCCGGTAGATGGGTGGGTGAACAGGAAGAACAGGTAGCTGACGGTAACCCAGGCCCAGCCCTGCTTGACGAAAAAGACGTTGAAGATGTTGCTCTTCTTCGCAAAGTACGAGGGCGCGGAATTGGCGAAGTGCGATTGCGTCGCGGCGTTGTAGGGAGCTGCCCGTGCGGCAGGGTCGAGCAGGGCGAAGAGGGAGCCGATCACCAGGGTCGCGGGATAGACTGAGAGGAGGATCATTTCGAGGGAGGTGGGCCGGAACGGGGATCTTCGCGCCGTCATTCTCGTGGATGGGGAGGGGGATCCGGCTGTCCTCGTTCTGGGGGAGGGGGATGGCGATAGCGTCTGGGTCTGCGTCTGGGTCTGCGTCTGCGTCTCCGGCTCTTTCATGCTTGGAGAAGAGGATATGTTTTGGATCCGCTGGGAGCGACGAGGCGTCGCGGAGGGCGAATCCATCTATTTGCAGATGGGGATGTGGATGTGGATGTGGATGTGGATGTGGATTCGGACTCGGATTCGGATTCGGATTCGGATTCACATGAGGGTGCTGAGTGAGGTGCAGTTGAGGCAGAGAGCAGAGGTAAAGGCCAAGGTAAAGAGGAAGGCCGTGATAATATGTGTGATGTTGAGATGGAAGCCACTGACGGGCTGACTGACTGACTGACTGATGGACTGACTGAATGTACCTGGGCAACCATGAAATACGGAGTGACGTTCCTAACGTTGCTCAGCTCGGCTCCATCTCGGTCCGGCAGGAAAGCAAGCAACAAGCAACAAGCAAGCAAGCAAGCAAGCAGAGTAAGCAAGTAAAAGTAAGCAAGCAAAAGTAACACAACACAACACAACACAGACTCGTAATCATCAAATAGTCAAATACCCAGATCCCATCTCCATTTCCACCGCTCAACCTCGACTCAGCCCTTCCTCCTTCATCACACACAATGGTCTCGTCACGTGCCCCATGGGCCCATACCCCTTCCAACCTCACCATCATCTGGCTCTTCATGTCTCTGCCTCTGGTCACATGGGATGCCGGATACGTGATGCTCCGTCCCATGAGCATGCCCGGAGGCTCGCTCCACTGGCCCATATGGGCACCTTATGAGCTCTATGGAAAAATCGATTACATCTACGGCGTAAGTAAAAGTCAAGTCAAGTCAAGTAGAGCAGAGCACTTACTTTTGTCCCTTTTCTATCCTTCTCACTTCAAAGACACACACACCCTACCTTTGCAATACTTTCCCAAATGACAAGAAGCAAGTCCTGACACTGAAAACCGCGATCCAAAGTGGAAGGCCTACAACGAGAAGAATGGCTTCACCGCGGCGCAAACCCTGCTGAACATTGTCGAGACCGCCATGTACGTCTACTACCTGTACATCCTCTACGCCTTCGGCCGGCCATCCACAGCCCAAGGCCGCGGAGCCCCTAAGCGCTCATCAGTCGGTTTCCTGGGCGAACAGCGATCCGTGGCCGGCCCGAAGGGCGCCGCTGCCGTCCTGCTGGCATTCAGCGCGGCAGTCATGACCTTCTCCAAGACTGTCCTCTACTGCAAGTACCTCCGAGGGTCTTCTCTCTCTTTCTTTTTTTTTTTCTTTTTTCTTTTTTTCTTTGGGTTGTTTTTAATTTTTTTCCAACTTGGAGAGAGGCCCAATATAAGTAACATCTATTTAGTCTAAAATCTTCGATCTTGATTGTACGCATATAAACATTGATAACAATCAACTCATCTCCTTCTTTTATCTGTTCTCTTTTAATGACGCTTTCCGCTATTATAACTAAACAAGTCGCGATAATAATATTCGAGTTATAATTATATAAAATTCAAATGTGAGCGGCATCACTGGAAATTTTCTTGCATAAAGCAGCGAGTGGATTTAGCTAAGCGGCCTACCTACCTACCAGTAGGTTTAGGCATGCCAAAAATAACATTTTGATGATCGAGGCATAAGAAATGATCGGCCATAAATTTCCCCTCGGAGCTCATCTCTATCTGAAAGAAAGAAAAAGAAGTCCACTTAGCTTGCATCTAAGACTAAGAACGAGTCATACCTTTCTCCTTGTTCCATCCTTAGCTCTCGAACTGGGAGCCGTTGATTCTGCTGCATGGCTGCTACCATAATAGAACCGAGGTTCAAAGGGTATTGATTCTACTCGGTTTTTTCATAAGTCTAGACCACGGAAACGAAACTGGGCGTATCTTGGCGAGGATAGAGCTCAATGCGGAGCTCAAACTGGAAGTGTGCCAAGAAAGCACGATTAACAGCCACTTTTTGGACATACGAAGTAATGCCATCATCGGAAGTCTTTGATTCGTTGATTTTGAGCAAACATAGACCTGAGGTTTCCGATATAAATGTATTATTGATATGTTGAGAATTATTTTATGTGTTTATTTTTATACGGAGGGGAGACCCTTAGACTCCCCCTTTATTGTAACGTCCTTTCTATTTACTTTTCGGTGCGGGCCGTCTCGAAACCTTAAAGCCACAAAGAATCAAATCCCGCGATTAGAAAGCTTGGTCCCCGAGTAAACTGGCTGGGAGCGAGCGGCTCATACGAAGTACCGGTAGAACTGGTCAACGTGACCGGGTACCCCCTGTAATCAGATCAATTGAAAAATTTAAGCTATAGCTGAAATGGAACCCATTTAGTCGATTAAGTCTTCGCTTATCAAAGTCGGTCTTTTTACGAAAAGACCATCCTGGGACCGCCTCAGACCGTTTTGGGACCGTTTTGGGGACGTCCAGACTTATTCCCAACCTCTACTCTGTAATTCTTAAGGACTTTCACAATCTCGGGATTCTAGTCTTAAATTCCTAACCTTGTGCATTATCAAGAAATTGCAATATAGAGCGGCAGGTAGGTGTAGATAGTTGAGGCATGGTGAAAAACCCCCCACCCCCCATTATGTTCGAGACATGGGAAATAATCCCCCGGTCCAGAATCATTGAAAACACGAGAAGAGCTGAGAGCTGTATACAGCCAAGATGATAACACTAGGGCTTTGAAGCGGTCAGAGCAAGCTGGATCAGCACCTCGTATTGCTATGAGAAGCTTCATCTCCATCATCTGGTCTGGTTCCCAGAAATCTCCATAAGAACATATATAAATATTCATCCATGGCCCTCTATTCTCAAGTGTATCGGCCCATAGCCCTCTTCTCTCGCATTCCACTTCGCCATCCTCCGTCGACAGTAATTTTTAAGACACCAAAATATTTCTGGGGTCAAATCTTCTTGAGAATCCTCCACGATGAGATCCTCAATCATAATGGCTTCTGCCTTTCCTGCCCTTATCATGTCTCAAATCCCGCTTGCGACGGTATACCCATGCTCGTCTTGCCCCTCAAGCATTGCTCCGGCTGCTATTACTGTCACCTCTCAATACCAGACTGTTTCAACATGTACTCCCCATACAGTTCCCAATACTGTATCTGGTACCCCTGAGGTTGAGCCTGATTGCACGCCTTATGCATGGCTCTCGACTGTCATTCGTAACCCCGGAGGATCTGCTAATGGCGATATGGGAGGATCCCAGCTCTCTACAATCACCAGGACCGAGCAAGTCGTCCAAGTCAGCTATACATCCACTGTCTTGACGTCTGAATATCCATGCGCAACTACCACTCCATCTTACAGAAGAAAGAGCTACGAAGACACTACTTCATGTGCGAGCACGAAATCGACTACCATGGTAGTCGATGTTTCGTGCCCTTTCAAGGAGATAGGTCCGCTCGCGATCGAGGGCTATCCCGGAAGTGGGCTTTGTACCACTTGCGCGGAAGACAAGAACGGTGTTATGTCTCAGATTGTCACTGCCACCAAGTGCTTAGACGAGTCCTGCTCAACGTACCTCGAAACATGGGTCCTTGCTAAGCCTACCACCACTACCTCTGTCAGTTCAGCACTCTTTTCCAGCTCAACTTTCTGCCCAACCAGCGGCACTTACACGATCCCGGTGACGGCAACTTGGACCCCTTCAGGGCCAGTCTTTACCCAACTGGCAACAGAGAGATTCGAAATCACTACTGCAGTCCCCATCACTGGGATTATCCAGGTCGCGACGATCATTGAAGTCACATTCACTGGCACGCCAGCTGCCACTGCGTGCCGATCGACCATTGTTAGCGGAATGTAAGCTGTCTTCTAAAATTCTTATACTTCAATAGCTGACACTCGCAGCACCAAGAGCCCAGTCGCATGTCCAACTGGGGTAGCTTCGACTTCGCCAAGCTATACCAACAGTGGCCCAGTGACAACCCCATCCTCACACAACACTCTCTTAACTGCCTACCGAGGCTGATGCAGGGCCCGAGAAGCGTAACGTCCAAGCCGACATGGTGGTTTCTGAGAACGCTGCTCACGACTCCATGATCCGGCGAGGCGGTATGCTCCGCAGTGTCGAAACGAAGGATCTCAAGAACGTCATGGCAAGCGTGACTTCGGCTCCAGAAGACCATTCGGTCTGTGGGTGACTGAGACGAGAATTCCAACCAGGAGTGTGTGGCAATCGCATCTGGATTCTTTGCATGCACATCCTCCCTCTTATGTGTCTTTAAATATTTGGGCATGGGAGTTAGTATTTATGAGTGCATAAGATTATGACGTTTTGAATAATGACAAGAGGATTTGAATGAGATATTTTAAGAAAACTAGGTTCTGATAACATGAGAGCAAAATTTTGACTTATCTCTTGTCTCGATCGGGCTTCAACGATTTTGCCGTTCTCCAGCCTCACCTCGGAGATCCAACCCATCATCTCGTAAAATGAGCAATGTAGTCACTTTGTTATAGGGCTACGAGCAAAGGGGTGGTGAATAACACTAGCATCCTTCCCGTATCCTGCAAACAAACCTCCCACGGCCCTCTCCTGGCCCCATAATACTTCAAACATTCTCTCATCATTGCCTCGCGGATTATCTTCTGTCTAGTAAGTTAGAGGAGCAAGTCTCCCTCCTGGACAGATTTGGCTTTGAATCTGGTCGTTGTCGTGTCAAGGTTGAGTCGCGCGGTGCCCAGCTCAGGCAGGGGCTTCTCGCTTATATCCGCGAAAAAGCTTTTAGAGTGTGTATGACTTGCAGATGCAAGCCAAGTTACACTATCAAAATAGTAGTACTATTCTTGCATCTTTAAGTTGCGCGTCAAGGTGCGAGAATTAAGCAATTGGTATGGCTCGTGCACGTAAATCTTATAAAGTATGCATCTGATTCTGCAACTTGTAATTGCGTTATATATAAATCGACGTTGCAGTAAAAAGCTTTGACTTCCAAGTTGCAGGCTCGAGTTGGAAGCTTTCCATCTACTCCCTCCCCTCCTTCCCTTCCGCTTATTTCAACTACCTTTTTACTCTTTTCCAACGCTACTTTTTTGCAAATGTATCGATATTTGTATTATATTATATACACTTTTTCTTTTGCTTGTTTTCGACGTTAAAAGCTGAAGGGGTTGTGAAAGACGAAAGGATAAAGGTATTACCGATAGCGCGCGCCTTCTTCTTTCGTGCAATAACTTCACTTTTTATTTTTATTTTCATAAGCTTGGACTTGAGAAGAAGGCTCACGAAAAGAGCTTCCGTGATAAAAAACCTCGAGTTTAGAAGGATCGATATAATAAGATGGCTTGATTAATCTTGAATTTACTGTAAAAAAATCATTAGTTGTTGTAATAATAAATTAAATTCATGTCTTGAGTCTTAAGTTGCAAATTGATATTCAATTTGCTAGCTGTGAGCCATACAGGCCTCAGAACGTACAGCTTCCACTTTCAAGTTGAGTTGATCCTGTTTAAGATCAACTCAACTGCTTAGTTGCACGTCCATGCAACTACGAGCCATATACACTCTTAAGTTATTAGCTATGTATCAATAAAACCTTTTCTGGTGATGTTCTACATAGGCCGAGATGGAAAATTTTCGCTGAGATTATGGATGCAGGTTTTCAGACTTTCGAGAAAAAAAAAATACGAGAATGTTTGCGAGAGGGCTCTTTCTGCATTACTGACTTGAGGTGTGGATGAACTGATACCCGGTACTGACGGGAAGTCAATATAGCGGTTGGTCGAACATCTGAGTCCAGCTCCGGTATATACTCATGCCACGAGTTTGACGAGGGGAAAGTTTATTGTTGGTAAGTCACAAGGGGTTTGATAGACTAGTCAATCATGTTGTGTTGGGTTGTATTGTTGTTGATGATTCCCTATATTTACAATGTTGTGGCCTGTCCTTTAAGGGGGCAGGAACCACACGGGCGCACGTGCCCACGCGTGCCCACGCGTGCCCTTATGTGTCCGGTCCTCACGTGCCGGTGGACCGACATTTATTGTCGTTGCTTTGGCTATTGCCTTTCTTTCTCGTCGCTATTTTCTGTTTCTTCCATGCCTCGGAAGGAACCCCGTCATGCACTCACGTCAAATTACTCTCAAATTTACAGACGCCGCAACGGTCAACACGGAGTTGCATTCTGGACTCTCAGATGGATTTCTGAAGAAGATCTAGCAGAGTTGGAGCGCAGCCATGAAAGAGAAGTGGATGAACTAGACAGAAACCTGGATGTCCATAAACGAGGAATGGAAATATGAGCTCCTGACGGATACCAGAACAACGTCTCAAGCCCCTCATTCTCATTGCGTACCAATATAATCGATAGACGACTCCGACACCCTCTTCGTCGAAAATCGCTTCAAAGACTGCCCGGCGCTGCTCTCTTTCTGGCATGACCTGAGTGTCACCATCCTCCGCGCAGACTTTCTCCGCTACTTGGCCATCCTCGCAAGGAGGTTGAGGCCTACAGCGATATAGAAACCAGCTGCATGAAACCCATTGACAGCTAAATTCCCGCCCACTTCGACAGGTAGTCCATCAAAGTCGTTGTGGGGGTGGAGTATCACGAAACCACGTACCCGAGGCTCGTCCGTCCGGTGAGCTTCTGCTAGTGGACACTGATGGCCAAGCCCGGCCACGCCATCTTCGAGACCGTCGTCGCAAGAGTGATATGTATTATCTCTGGTCCCCCGCCTGGATGGGAAATACCGATCTTGCAAGGCTGGGAGTGGGAAGGAAGGACGTGTTGGGCGGAGGGGCGAGGGGCTTTGACAGACCCGGTAATAGAGAATCTGATTTTGCCCTAGTTTTGCACCGGATCGACTCGCGAATGCTTTACGCAAGAGCGATGCTGGCGAGGAATGAGTCAGGATATAGAAGGGGAGGAGAACCTTTCGGGTCCAGAAGGAGGGGAGGAGGTGTGAGAGGGTCTAGCAAGTCAAGCCCTTTTTCCATCCTCGGAAAATTTGAGACTTGCATCTTAATTCTAACCTAATAGCGGTTCTAGCCATTGAATGCGTTCGAACAAACACAGATCCAAAGGAAAGCACTGAGCGGTGATCTGACTCATCTGAGGGAGTGAATCAATATTATTATTACGAAGAAGGCTGTGGAAAAAAGAAATCCGCGCGGGTCGCAAAACGAGCTGACTCGTTCTTGGGACGATATTTTAAATAATCTGGCTAGTTAGTATTAGAGGAAGATACTTTTTTTTTTTTTTTGCAAAGCTAATCCGGAAATTTATTACAACCTAGACCATCAAGAATATAATCAAAGTGTTATAGCTACGAAAAGAGGTGCAAGACTTTCGTCCCAAAAGCGTGTAAGTCCGAGGACAATGGAGGTGTAGGATATTGTCGTTGATCTCTAGAGAACATAGATCCAAGAAGCTCACCTTTCTGCAGCAGTACTAGAGGAGTAAAAGCCTTTTGAAAGCAATAGATATAGAATGCAATAGACTGATATCATTGTAGACTAGATACCAAGGCGTTCTTTAGCAATAGGTTGGTCAATGAGCTGGATCAAAGTTCATCAGCAGAACTCTTGCCAGTGATATCAGATAAAGTTCTCTTTAGTTTTGCTTTATATAAAACAATAGTGTTGCCACTGGCAACCTCTAGATGCCATACGCAAGGGGATCACCTTCGGCCCTTCCCGAAAAGGAGGGGCGGGGCTATGACTAAGGCTGAACCTATAATTTTCTCCCGAGGTTGATAGATCGAGTTTTCAGACATTCAAACTCGAACTTCAACTCATCAACTGCGAACAACCATGAACAAGCACGAGTGTCAGTCTTCAAACTCCAAGATCTATTTGCTTAGTATCTAACACACTCTGTAGCAACGAAAGCGCACCTCGCATCCAGTAAATCGAGTATGGCCAGCATTCTTCTCATCACATCAAGTTCTCCTCCTCACACCAAGAAAATCGAATTCCGAGGGCTATGGCAGCCAGCTGCAGATCCCAGAACAACTCCGCATACGTTCTCATGAGCTCTCCACCGGATTACCACATCGAAAAATCTCAAACCCCATCCTCGAGCTTCAACCCAAGTCCGAATTCTCACTTCACTCGCCATCGATGCCTTCTTCATCGTCTTCGTTGTCCATATCGGACCTCTCTTCCCTACTCTGACGCCTCAGACGCGACGAAGAGCCCTCAAACTCCGAAGAATGTTCCGCGGACAATCCATAAAGAGGAGCTGCCTGTCTCGATGCCCGATCCATCTCTCCAGCAAAGGAGAAATCCTGCAGGCGAGCTTGGTCTGTTGAGGGTAAGCCATACTGTGGAGATACCTCGTCATAGAAGGAAGCCTGCTGCTGACGTGGCAGAACAAACGGATCAGATTGAGATGGCGTTGGACCAAATCCACTTGCGGATCCCATAATCTGATCACCTCTCGTGTTTTCACGGACGCCGAAAGCAAGCTGGTTCTGAGTTGAGGCCTGCGAGAAGTCGGGTTCTTGTCTGTAGCTCAAGACCCTTTGGAAGGCTGTACTTGGCCGTACTGGACGCGGAGAGACCAGGGGGGTGAAACTACGATCAGAGAAATGCAAAGGTTGAGCTTCAGAGACCCCTTCCTGTCTGGATGGGTTCTCTGGTAGAGATCCTTGCATGAAGATGCTGGAATTTGCGGACCGGCTAAGACTCGACGACTGCAGAGCTTTTTGCGGCTCGCCAGTTAAGATGCCGCGTAAATCCGAGCGAGTAGATGCGGTCATGTTCATTCGATCTCTCGACCTTACTAGGCTGTCGTAGGGGCCGCCTCTACGGTTGTCTCGTTGCTCGGCCTGGGTACCTATTTGCTCCCCAGCAATCCCAGCCTGGAAAGTCTGGTGAGCTTCTGGTACTTCTTGGACAGCTGAGCTCGATCTGCATCTTTTGATAACTATGTCTTCATCTTGTTCATCATCAAAGGCATTTGAGTAGGCCAAAACGAGTGGGTGTGGAGCTGTGAGCGAAGAACCATCCTCCTGACCCGCAGCTTGCAGTGGTGTTCCGCACAAACCAGCTTTGATATTGACCCATCGATTTTGATCGTGGCTGGCGGGGCCTCTTCTTCTCCCCCGAGCACGAGGGGCAGGAGGCGGCGATGATGGGGAGTGTGTTGCTTCGCCGGCATTGAGCGGGCCAGATGGAGTCTTGGGTCTCTCCATACCGACTCGAGGAAGGACCGCAGGGCGCTCGGCGGTATGGGAGAGATTATGGTGATGCAATCTTTATGTTATCCTTTTTCCCCCCCTGCTATGCTGCTACTTCTGTCTCTCAACTAGCGCTGTGACCTGTCCCTCGAGAAGAGGCTCTCTCCCACGAAGATGAGGTCTCTGTTTTTAACCCCTTCACGGGATTATGGAGTTTGCGAGAAAGTCTCGATCCTATTTCACTATATGGTGAAGTGGAGAAGGTCAGCACGGCCTAGATTCGGCATACCCGTCTAAGAAGATTCACTGACCTATCTGATCCTTTTGTAGACGTCGTGCTTGGTATGGACAATCTGCTAGTCGCTCACAAGCAAGTGCAATGAGCGCGCCCTTGTCAGGGTTAGATTATCGCACGGGTGTCGTTCAACTTGTTATTTCTGCGGCTGTATGGCTTTGATTGACGGGGAGTTAACTCAATTGACAGTGATCCTCAATCGACAGTGATCCTCAATTGCCGGTGATTGTCGATTGACTGTGATCCTCGATATGCCAGGTTCAAAATGGAGACTATCAGAGTCCTCGTCAGCTTGGAGATCGGTAACTTTACCCTCCCGGGAAGGATTTAAGGTTGGCGCTAAGGCTCGCGTAGATGTCACTTCACTGTTTACTTGTCGATTGCGGCGAGGAATCACAAAAGCGCGGCAAAAGAACCAAGGCTCTTGTGAAACCAAGCCGGTGTGAATTCTGATCTAAGGTGAAGTTTCTCTAGGCTCAATCTTACGATCTCTTATTTATTCCAGTGTCCTGGGAGTGCATGCGCCAAGGAGTCGGCCATGATATCTCCCATAGCAGTTTAATATATTCTTCAAGTGCCAGAGAGCATGTAAAAGGAATTGGAGAGACTATAGCAGCTCAATAAAAGTTCTCCCATAAGTGGCCCTGCAGTAGGAAGCAACTGGTCACCTAGCTTGTCCAAGCAGCACGAAAAATACTGTTGGATTCTGCCTCAGTATCATCGGAGGCGCAGTCCCGAGAGCACATACCGAAAGAGAAATTCCGAGATGCTTTGTATTCAATGCTCATGTGAGATCTGCCCCCTATGTTAGGTTTGTTAGACAGGCCCGGATGACATGAATGACAAAACGAGGACGTTAAGGCTGGCGAGGTATTGTTGTGGCTCAAGAAGGAAAGGGACCGAGGAAGTCTAGGCTGTTGATTAGTACACTATCTCGAGATCTAGATAATAGCTGTTGGTTTTGGAAGTGGCCTGCTCCTCCCAGCTTTTGCTCGGCAAACGAGTCAATTTGTAATATAATTTATAAATCAATCTGCCAACTATTCTGTCGTGGTGAACATAGGTAAAGGCGGTGGCATGATTTACTCTACCCTTGGCCCTTCCATATCCTGACTCTCAACCATGTAGGACAGGGTGAAATTTCATTCCGATCGCCTTCCCCGAGAGCTCACTGATCTGCCGTGCTTGCCAAATTATGCGGTCTCGTGATACACAACGCCCCGCTGGAGGTTCATCGATACATATCAAGATACAGATGGGCGACGGTGGAGTGGAATCGTTGCAAGTTATGTGTTCGTGCGAGAAAAGAGAAAAGCACGCCGGATCGACTCACGCGGCTTGAAAGTTGTCACGACAATTGGCTTCACGGATCGATCTATCCCGGCCATAGATCTCGAGAGAGACCTCTCGAAGCGCAGCCAAGATTTTCGGGCGCGTCTTGTTTACCGCCCCAAAACGGCAGGGTGATTTTCAACTGTTATGATAAAAAGAACGAGATTGCAAAGTTGGAAAGCAAACCAGAAATAAGCGCCAAAAGGCAATCGATCGACAACAGGCTCTGGGGATCGAGGCCGTAGGAAAAGGCATGAAATTACTAGCTACTTTTGACGTGAGGAAATGCTGCCTTGGCTGTGAGCCCGAGGAAGCATGTTTTGGATTTTATGCTCCGTGCTCAATTCTAGCAGCGCAACTCACACGCCAGGTGACCGACCACAGATCTTCGCAAACTCCTTATCCGGTGGTGTTATACAGACAGACAGACAGACAGATCCTCGCTCAAACATTATTCGGGGGGGGGGGGGTGGGGGTGGGGGGGGGTGCTACTCAAAAGCGGTCACACGTCCAGCTCCACCAAAGTGCAAGGCCACTCCAGCCCCCGAAATCCGACTCGTAGTGGTCTCGCTCGTCGCGTTCAGGACGTGGTTGCGGGTCGACGGGAACCTGTTGCGAGAAGTCTTCATTAGCCCACGCTCTTGCATGATCTTCCGGAAGCGGCTCCTCTTTGCTGACCTTGATGGACGGCCGGGATCTCGGAGGTGGGCGCCGGCGTCTCTTGGGCGACGCGTTGTGGCTGAAAGGGCGGTTTCGGAATTCTCTGGAAGGAAGCTCGGCGGCGAGAGGTGGGTAGAGCGTTTTGTTCTTGGGGGTTACTGGTGGTGGGAAGGGGAGAGGGGCTACCGACCGCTGGGGGATCAGATCGGCGCCGACGGCGGGGTGATGGTGGGCTGCGTTCCGAAGACCCTGGGCAGTCTCTGCAGCTGTGCCGGCTTCTATTTCCTCGCGAGCCTTGATACCACCCGCCGGGCTGGCGACTCTGGCGGTACGTGGTGATGGTGTCGGGACCAGGTCTGGTAGCGGTGGTGGCTTGGTATAAGATTCGGGCCACGCCCCGGGACCTTCCCACGACGACCATCTCTCCCGCGGGCCGAACGGGTCCATCTCGTAGCCTTGGATGAAGAGCGTGGCACGCCTTCTCGGATCCTCTGCCAGCTCCCTCTCCTCTTGCTCCTCGTACTGCGTGAGGAGCCTCATGTTTTCTGGCGGCGAGAATCAGCTCTGCGACTCGCGCGGGCGATCGATACGGGAGGAGAACTTGCCTTGGTAGTGGTCCTCGACCTCTCTGCGGATGACCAACTCGGCAGATCGTAACCATTGGACTTCAGACTCGTTCAGCGGATCTGCTGTTACTGCTCTTGCGTTAGCGCAAGAAGAAAGAGAAGAAGAAGAGGGGGAAAAAACACGGCAACTGGTATCGCGACTCACCCAGAGTCTCGTACATGAACTCGTCCATGTACGCCCACATCAACGTGAACTCGTTCTCAAACCGGTGGTACATGGCAATCTCAAAGGCCATCTTCTTGAGCGGGTCGTAGTAGATGGTGGCCAGGTATTGCTCGAATGGCGGCAGGTGCCTGAACACCATCTTGTTCTCCAAGTTGGTGAGCATCGCGTTAGCCAGCGAGTGGGAGGCCATGATGTAGTCGTCGCCCAGTTCAGATCCTCGCACGTAGCCATCGTGGAACATCTGCGCGAGGTGTCCGGGATGGAGACCGAATCGGAGCCGGCCGTATATAGTTCGGGTGGCCTCAGCCCACACGAACCGAACTAGGTTGACGACAGCGGGTTTCGGTCCCGGATGATACAAATTCGTATTCATATTGGTCTTTCTAGGGGCGCTGAGTTCAAGGGTGCTGCTATGTTGTGTCAGCTCTATACTGCTGAGGTTTTTGCGCACTCGATGGCGTCTTGAATGGAAAAAGAGAGATCGATACGATACGCAGCGACGAGTCTGGGAGGAATAGAAAGTCTTTGCGCGCTCGATGGGGTCTTGAAAGGAAGAAGAGGGATCGATACGACACGATACGCACCGACAAGTCTGGGAGGAGTAGAAACTTACAGAAGAGATCGAAGTTTCTGGGAAGCCTGCCGCCGTCAGGTATCGTGGTCACAAAGCAGTCGGTACAAGTCTTTCTTTGGTTGCGTAGATCGAAAAGTCAGAAGGTGTATTGTTGCCTTTGAGAAGTCGTTGGTTATTATTTAAGGTCGAAGCTTTTCGCTGGTTGTCGGGTGATATAACAGCCACTCAGGATACAATTGTTTTTTTTAGCGTCGGCTTGCTAGGCCGATTCAATCCTCGACGAGTGAATGATATGATAAGTGAATAACAACCATTTCAACAACTCCATTCTCTTTGTCCCTTCCTACGATCTTTTAAAGAATAGCATGTATTTTTTAAGACCACGCACGTACGTAGTGTTGTTTCTGAAGACTGAATCAACCCTAGCGGCAGCTCTTTTGTAAAAGGTGAGTCTGATATACATTTCACCTTCGATAACCTAGTATCCTGACTATTGATATATATATATATATATATTGACTGTTTACTACCCAAAAAAGTAAGATCCCATAGCCCTTATATAACAAAACGAGTACCTGGCCTAGCTTTAAATCGCTGATAGAGAGATATCAGTTGAGTCGATATACAAACCCCTTTCTTTCTATTCACCACCACCGTTTCAGAACTCGCGCCCGCGAGCAAGCTCGAAAATATCTCACTGCACGTGACTCCACATTTCATAATCCTTTCCGGGCCCGATACCATTACCGTGCAAGCCAAAATCTAATAGTTGACCAGCAAGCAGGACGGATGCGACAAGTTTGCGCCTTTCGCTGCAGATCGTTGAAATACGCCTCTCAATTGACTAAATCCATCTAGCATCTCCACAGCTGAAGGCTTCCCACCACTTCTTAAAGGTCGGACCCCAGAAGAAAATTTAAAACGTTGGGGTGTTATCGTGCTGAAAGGGGAAGCTGGTCGTTCCACGTGGTTGTTGATATATGGCCAGAAGCGAGGAATAGAAAATATCTTACGTAATCACAACTGAGCATCGCCAAGTGATTGGTGGGCGTAGGAGAAGAAACTATATACACTTCCAACAAGTGACGGTGGGAACAAAGGGACTCTAGTAGTCCAAAGCGTATGCTCTAGGTATCATATGTAGGATGTGTGTGAGGAGTCAAGTATATAAAAGTACGCGTAGAATATTGCACTACATGATTGATCGAAGACAGCTCCACGCCGCATGCCTGCAAGATTAAAGCAAAACTACCACAGCGCGTCACTATAGAAGTCAAGGGCGAGGAATTTTCTCGGCTCATGATAGAAAACCTTATGGCATGATTGACTGCTATCTACCTTGTGATGCCGAGATAACCAAAAGTCCGCGGGCGATCCAAGTGAACAGTCTCACCGGGCTGTATGTAACAATGAAGAAGAGAGATAAATCGCAGCACAGATGCCATCTACCCCTTACGCTGTCTTCCAGGCCATGCGCGCAACTTCAGAACTGAAGTGATTTACTGCCAAGTGGTCTTGCGAGCGGCCTCAGCAGCAGCCAGATCTTCCCAGCCATGGCAGTCGCCAGCCTCTTGAGCATCTGCAAACTTCTTGCTTGCCTTTCTCTCCTCATCCTCCTTTCATCTTGCAAAAATTGAGCTTGGCTTGAGCGGCAGTTACAGCAGCAGTATCTCTCTTGGCTTGAGCAGCAGCTTCGGCGGCCATTCTCCTGATGGACCTTTGGGACTGGAATGGCGCCCAAATCTAAGCAGCTCCTCCTGGTGACGGGGCAAGTAGGTACCATCTCGGGATGCCATCCTCGGTATACGCCCTAAAATATTTCCTGGCGTCCAAATCTCCGACTCGAGCTCGCGAACGCGTCGAGCCTTCCGCGTTATCCTTTGCGGATTCCGCCCGCTTGGCCGCTGGTTCCACCCGTGTCAGTGACCACTCACACACTCACTCACTCACTCATAGGCGGCGGAGAATTGGAATACGGTGGTAAGTAACTTACTAGCGGTCTTACGATCGGCGTGCGCAAGTCTCCATTCCCAATCCTCCTTGTCGTCTGCGACACGTGCTTCGAAATTTGTGGAGACGTCTTTGGGAGAGGTAGCCAGCCCTAGGAGTGTTTGACGTACTTGCCTCGTTGGTCCTCGACCTCCTCCAAAGATCTCAGTTGCCTGTACCCTTTCCTTTCACTTTTCTGTAGACTCGCACGTCCGACTGCAATGGGAGATTGAGAGTCTCCAGAGTAGGTATTCGGTCCGTTCCTCACTGCCAAGCCGGTCTCTTACACGTCTCTTCTCTCAGCCTGGAGTCTTCGAAATCTCCTTGGTAGCTAGCTGCTCGGAGAGCTTCTCGACTCTTTTTAACAGAGAGAGATGGGGAATCTGTTGTCTCGGAGAGACGTGGATATTGCGCCGTGAACGAGCAATGCTGGGATAGCTCGTCTCGGGAGAGTAGCGGCGGCTTAGATTAGCCAGGTGAATGACTGGGCGATCAAGACGATCGTAGGCGCGTAGAAGGTCTCCCAGGAACAGGCATGTAGGATCCACGGCTGTAGGTGTAGGTATAATTGTAGCTGCCATAACTCGATACCGGTTTTTTTTCTCTCGATAGTATTAAAGATGAAGAAGATCTTAGTCAAAAAAGCATGTTGACCTGATAAGGAGATCATATCTTAGTATCTGCATTTATGGTTTTCGGAAAAGCACTTGTGTGAAAGTGGTTGTGTGATATGTTCTGGTCTGTTGTCGGAGGTGGACTGATATTGCTTAGGTATACGGGTGCGGATAAAAAAGATAATAGCGATATATAAAAGATGAAAGCAAAAAGAAAACGCGAGAAAATTCTCGAGAACTCAATATATTATATTATACAGCATTCCAAAAACACACTTGATTTATATAAAAATCACTTTCGCAAGGTAGTAATTAAGAAGAAAGCAGCCGCGAATGCGAATGACGCAGCTCTGATTTTTTTTTCTCTTTTCTCTTTATACAGATAGGTACATTTACCCAATCTAACCCACCATGGCCCTGACCCACCATATCATCTACGAGATACTGCTCATGAACCAAGACGAGCCGTAGCCCCAGCATCCCATCCCTAACACACACACCAGAGTAGCTCGCAAAGTAGCAGAAACAAACCCCCAAATCTGAGGCCTTTCTCAAGCAGGTCCACATCCCAAGACGCTGAGATCTGTAACCTTCGACTCTCCCTCCTATACCCAGCCATCTCGTATAGAGCGAGGTGTCCATTAGCACACAGATCCACAGATCCACAGCCTCACCTTCATCCCCGCCTTGCAGTTCCGTTCCAATGTCGATACCAGCCTGAGCCTGCCTGCTCGCGCTCCCTCCAAGCGTTCTCGAGTGCGAATTCCTCCCAGTTCACCATCTCCAGCGCGTCGCCCCCCCGCTCGCCGAAGTCCTCCCAAAGCTTGATGCCTTTGTTGACGGGGATGACAGATGGTATGGCGACGAGGGGTACGATAGCGGGAGCAGGGGCGGGGGCGGGCTTGGGTTTGTAGGCGGGGTCGATCCACACGGTTTCCGGGTTCTTGGAGGAGGGACAGAGAACGCTGTGGTAGAAGGTGCATCTCATTTTGCATGTGCCTTCTGAGGGGTGGCGGGGTTTTGGAAGCTGTGTCGTGGCTTTCGGAGCTTGTTCTCTGCGAGCAGCTTGCTGCGTGTCTGGGGGTGCGGATGGAGCCACGACGTCGCTACGGGCACCACGGGGGTCGTAGCGGCGGGACAGAGTTGGATGGGCTGACGCGTTACAGGCGGCGGATGGCCTCGAGTGGCTCTGTTCCTTGCGCTTGGGAGGAATTGGTGTTGCGGATGGAGCAACAAAGTCGCTGCGGTCTCCACGAGGATCGTATCTGTTGGCAGAGCCTGAGTGGGCATGAGGATTGCTACCGGCGCCGGGTCTCGATGATGACTGCTCTTGGCGCTCGAAAGTCAACCAAGCAGCAAGCTCCTCCTCACTCTCGTAGCGGCGTTGGTGCGCCATGATAATATCAGGCTCTTGGTTTGTCAGATTCGTTTTACTCCTTTGCTTTTGAGGATGTGTCGAAGAGTTGGAAAGGTATTGCTGCTACGTTGCGTTAAGTACGCGTAGGTTTGTTGTCGAGATTATGTGGAGTATGTAGTGGAAGGTGTGTCGAGATGTTGTGTACAGAGGAAACTTATCAAGTATCAGAAAAGAATGTTCCTGCTATATACCTCAGAGCTAACACTACTAGCGCGTATTGACTCACCCTCGCTAAGCGAGACGCGTAGACCTCGCGCTCATTCACTTAAATCATGGCCAAAATAGGATTGTGGAATTGGAATTGCTTACATTGCCAAGGAAGGAAAAAATCAACGACCCCTACTGAACTATGCAAACCTGAGATCGTACTATCATTCAATTATAAAATCGCCGTTCCATCTGTTCAAAAAGGGTGACGAGGTAAACAGAATTAATACTGACTTACCCTTCATTACGCGATCCGTGAAAAGTTAGCCCTCCCTCCCTCCTTTTTTCAATTGAAACTACGTGGTTAATAAACTCCCATAAGTAGAATACTCCTTTAATAGACAATCCATACATGTAATCGTAATTAACAATACGATTCAAGGTATCTGCGGTCCTTTGGATTGGTAGCCCTGTGTAGTCATCGGATAAAAGTGGCAAGACCTCACTGAGGATTGCTCAATTAGAAAGCTAGAGATTACGATCTCACTTTTTCATCGAGACCATTCTTCGCAAAGCCGGGAGTAAAAAAGTAAAACACCATCACGGCAGACATACTGTCCTGCAGATTCCATCCGGGGTCTCCGACGCTCTGAAAACCGAAGGAAAGGTCAACCTTATGATTGAACAACTTGTATATACATAATACCCACAGTTGAGAAATTAGATATATCACCGCTCTTCTCTACCCAGCCTTATCCTTCAAGTATTTGATACTCCTCGGAGCCGATTGACGAAAGAAAAGTACTTTCTCTTAGACGGACCAGGAAGTATAATGCCCAAAGAGTCGGGCTTCTTGGCAGGAGAAGCGATCCTAGTCTTCGAATTCGGGCGTTTATCAAAAGATCTCATTGCGCTAAGCGTACTGATAAAAGCGGGGTCTTGCTCATTTAATGCATTCATACGGTTTGGGGTCTTGGGTGTGGGTGACGATGCGGCCATAGCTCGAGGAATTCTCGACCGAGACATCGGTGTAAGTGGGCGAAGCTTTGGGGACACTGGGGTCCGAATATGCCTCTGGTCTTGATAGGACTTTGGTGCCATGAGAGGTGTTAAAGGAGCTGGAGGCGTAACATGACCCGGTGTCCGTTTTCCTTCTCCAAATATCGGCGGCACAAGATGCGGGCTCGGAGGAGTTGTTGCCGTGACGCCTGTAATCTCTTCTGGTTTATGAATGCATCCCGTACCTTCAGAGGCATTTGAAACCTTTCGAGTTGTTGGCAAGTTGAAAAGTAGATCTGAGGACAGGTCTGGTGTCGAGACAGCCTCAGCCGCGGGGGAGTCGTCATGATCGTCTGCGAGTGGCGAGAGTAGCGATGGTGCGAGAAGAGTCGAAATTTGTCCATATTCCAGATCTTCAAGAGGAGCCGAAACAGGACTAGGCGCCAGAAGAGAAGCTGGCATCTCATTAGAAGTCAAAGAAGGCGTGGGTATAATCACAGGAGATGAGGTGTCCAGCATAGTACAGCTGGTGAAGTGAGGACTTGAGTCAGGGTGCTCAGAAGTTGTCATTTCAGAAATTTGGACCTCATCTTGCCGGACTTGTTCGTCGGTGGCTACGCTATCTCCAAGTTCCTGCTGCCCGAAATCTCCTGCATCAGAGAAGTTGCCGAGAACATGACTGCCCTCCGACACCAGTGTCGGCGAACGGCTATTCATCTCATCTTCGATTTCCTCGATCAGGGTCCGCGTACTAGCGGAGTTGCGCAGCCTGAGAGAGTAGCTCGCCGGCAGAGAACTAGTGACGCTTGGTTGCTCAAAGCTTGGAAAAGGGATGATTGGCGAGCGCACTTCCGAAAACGGTAGAGATATTTGTGGCGTTACAACCGGCCAGGCCTCTTCGATAGGGAAAAAATAACTGGGCGGCGTCTCTTCGACTTTGAAAAGAGTGTCCAGAAGCTCGAGAGAGAAGCCCATTGGAAAGCCCGATACTCGACATTGGTCAATGATGCCGCGCAGAGCCATGAGATTGTTGCAAATATTCAGGGCTTCAACAGGGCAGTATCGCGCTGGCTTTTGATTAGCTGTGGGACTCAACATTGCCGTAAAGGTGTGTCATACCATCAGTTTCAGTGACCCACAAGTGGTCGGGCGGACGAGCACCAGAGTACCGTCGACACATCAGGTGTATCTGCGAAATATTTGAATGAGCAGGACGGTCTCCAAGCCCGCGCACAATTATGGCAAACAGCAAGGTGGTCTTGGTCATATTGTACCCGAATCTCTTCGCATCTCTCAGGTGACTACATCCGAAGCGTGTGAAGTCGACTTCGATTGTGAGGTGCTGAACAGCGTCGAGATGCTCAATCAGCCAGACATGAGACAGCGGAGATAGCTTCGGTCCGCTGAACTCGTTGAGGGTGACATGGAAATGGTATGCGGTCCAGAAATAAGTCATCAGCTCATTGCGGAGCTGAGAAGAAGCCTCGAGTCCCCCTGCCACCGAATCTAGAATATCCCATGGATTCGCAAAGTAGCCCTCAGGGAACACGGCTTTCGTGGCAAAATAGGGCGACAAGTTGATCTTGCGAGCTTCGTTGGGGAAGCAAAAGCCGTAAATTCTTCGTTTGACAGACGGAGGGAGCGCAAATAGAGGGTGTCCGCCCGTCGCCTTATACTTTTTCGCCAGCACGCGCATAAATTCCAGGTCGAAATCGCCCTCGCATTCGGCCTTGGTGCCAACGAGGTCAACTTCGCGATCGTAACCAAGTATGGGACGATCTTCTTCCATGCAGCGCATCATCACGCTGCTGCTTCTGAAGCTGCTCTCAGGGGTCGACGGGGCTGATGAGGCGCCGGTCGCTCTGCGGAAGAGACTCGCGGGAGTGTATCGGGCCGGCGGGCTGGCCATAGACTCTGCGGTACTCATTGCGCGGACGGCTGGTTGGGGATCGAGCTCGTCGTTGGGAGGGCGACTGAGGAAAGGAGAGACGCTGCGGAGGGAGCCGATGACAGAGCGGCGGAGAGACACTGCGGCGGGTGGGCGGTGATGTTAGAAGGGGGAGGTGTTGGAGTGAAATGTGAAAGGTGAAAGGTGAATAATGAAGGTTGGACGACAGGAGAGGAGGCTGATAGACTGACTCTTATTTGTAATCAGTGCTGTGTCGACGAGTTGGGCTGGGCTGGGTTGGGATAATCAGCAGTACCCGGGAAGTGCGTCTCAGTCGATTGATGTCAATTCTGCTGGGGCCGGCTCTGGGGTGCACTGGTCGAGTCGAAAATGTTGGATGGAGATGGAAATGGAGATGGAGATAGAGATGGAGGTGGAGGTGGAGGTGGAGGTGGAGATGGAGGTGGAGGTGGAGGTGGAGATGGAGGTGGAGATGGAAATGGAAATGGGAAATGGAAATGTAGATGAGAATGAAAACGGAAGGAGCGGACCATCGTCCATCGGTCGCTTGGTTGGCCAATGGCATGGCATGGCAGGCACCGTGCAGTGCAAACGCTCGTCTCGGATCGGATTCACCATTCTTCATCCTCAATACATGGGACGTCGATGTCTGTTAAGAGCCCGTATGCAATTGCTCTTTGTTCTTCTCCTTCTCCATCTTCTCTACCCTTCCCCCTTCCCCCTTCCCCTTCCCCCTCGCAGCTGAGTGCAGATGCCAATACCATGCATCACGAGATCTGCTGTTGGATCATTGCACGTGGAGTATTCCGCTCTCGTAGAAACAATCCTGATTTGCTTTTCCCTCCCACCCTTAATTAGCTAGCGCTCAGTGTAGTCAGTCATTGCAGCATTGCAGCAATCATTTCTGCCACTATTACCAGCCCCTAAGTCACATGATGTACGACGAGAGATTATCTTTTGCCCAACGGATTCCATCAAGCAAGCGTCTCTTCTTTCGGAAAGCACTGGCAGTTGACTGCTCAATGGCACAGTAAGACGCGGACTAGAATCAGCTATAAGATCAGTAGGTATGGACATCGACTGTCTTGCCCTCGAGTCGAAGGTGAAAAAGCGGAAGAAAAGCCACCGCTGGCTTATCGCTTAAGCCCGAAGAGAAGCCGGCGCATCCGTCATACTGAAGGTGAAGTTTTTAATTTTTCCATCCCTTCCGGCCCCTCGGCCCTCGATCCGCAAGCCTCAATCAACCCAGCCCAGTACGACCGTATCTACCACTTCATCAGCGACTCAAATCCTACAAACCTGTTACAACTTTCACAAACTCACAAGCCGCACCATCATTCAAACCCCCGAGATATTCTACCGACGTCTCTCCAAATGACAGAATTCGATCCCTTTGACCCCGCGCAAGCAGCGTCCGGCCTGGCAGCTGCCCCCGCCAATTTCAACCCCAACAAGGCCGAAAACCTCGAAGATGTGCGATATCTCTCTCTCTCCTCATCGCACAGCAATAAACCCTCAGCTAATGCGCCCGCAGATTGAAAAGCAGTTCGCCGTCAAAGGTGCACCCTTCACCACCTCTTCCTACCCGCTCCCCAGTCCGCCTCTAACCCCACCACAGTCGTCCAGCACATGGAAACCTACTGGGCCATCCTCGAGAAAGTTCGCGGCTCGACCCTTCGCCTCACCAAAATTGATGAGGAAATCTACACCCATCTCAAGACTGACTTCCCCGAGTTCGACCCCGCGGCCACCATCGACGAGGACCAGATGAAAAGCAAGACGGGCAAGGAGCGGTGGCGCAAGTTTCTGATGGCCTACGAGAAGAAGGTTGACGATTATAACTTTGGTACCATGTTGAGGAACAGCCCGAAGGTCGAGTATGGGGAGAAGGAGACGATTTTCGGTGAGTTAATTTGTGCTGTGGTTGGGAGCTGGCTTGGGATTATGGCTGACTGGGGAGCTAGTTCCGAGGATGCAGTTTTATGCTGTGGAGATTGCGAGGAATAGAAATGGCCTGAACGATTGGATTTACGAGGAGGCTCAGAAAGCTGCAGCTTCGAAGGCCTGAGGACGTAGTGGGCATATCAGAGATACTTGGGGGGATACCCCGCCGCATATATCACACAATTGACGTCCAGGCGACGAGATCGGCCGCGCCACATTGGGCGGCTTCGCTTTCGCCATATCTGGAATGACCACAAATGGGAAGACATCCGGTCTCGATGTTGAAAGCGGAACGAATATTAGAAAACGGCCCTACGGCTCCCAATACAAAAGATTTGACTTTCACTGACAATGACATAGTGAAGCCCGGGCACGAAAAGCAATTGCTCACTTCCCTAGGTATATCACACCTCTGTTGAGTGGGTCTGTTTGAAACCCTCGCCTAACCAGTGTTTGGCATTCCGCTCTCTATTTTGCATTGCCTATATGCAAAGGTCCCTACTGATGTCTTGAAGCGTGCTGAGATCCATTCCTCGTGAAAGTGCCGGACATACTGCCATCTTGGGCTGGGCATACCCCAAGATTGATGCTAGTAGCCGAAGCATGGATTATCTTGTTGGCTACTGACTACTTCTCTTCAAAGTTCAAAGGGGAGTGGGTAATTATTTTTCGCGTACTCCGAGAACAATGGAACAAATTGCATTCTTCGCTAAGCAGACAATACTAAGGGGAGGCGGCGACCGCAACACACTCCGAGAACAATCAAACGTGTACACCGTGATGCCCTTGGTATTATTCTGGGATCTCGATGGCCCTCATTTCCCCGTTCAAATTCTTCTCCACCATGCCAGCTACAACCTCAACCAGAATCCTCCGCAAGCATTCCAATCGACCTTCCATTCCACACATCCCACATGGCAATCCTCTCCTACAGAAGCTCACGGAGCTTCGAAACCGACCGTAGTACCGCCTTCAGCATGCCTGCAAGTCCCGATGGCTCGACGGATCGGCTACGAGGCGAACCTCTCGACGTCAACGACAGCAAGGACGGAGGCAAGGTATCATGGGGCTCATTATTCGCCTTCACGACTCGACAGCATACCGCTATCATAGTCGTTGCGCTCTTCGCGACCCTGGTATCTGCTCTGTTGAAGCCCGCGTCGTCTATCTTCTTCGGCAAGATTTTCTCGGTGTTGACGAAATTTGGACTGGGGACTCTGAACGGGCAGGAGACCATCGATGGGATCAAAGGGTGGTGTATTGCGCTTGTTGCGCTCGGCGGGGTGGCATGGGTGGCAGAGGGTGCATTTCTTGGCCTGTGGATGGTGTTTGGAGAACTACAGGCAAAGAGTGCGCGCGAGCAGCTGTTTATAGGGATGCTGAACAAGGAGATGGAGTGGTATGATCTTCGGCAGGATGGTATCGGTTCGTTTCTGATCCGTATACAAACGTGAGTTTCCCCCTTCTTCTCTCCAATAGCCTCGCTGACAGCCGAAGACAAATCCGAGAGCTACAGTTGGCAGTGTCCCAGCCGATGGGCTTCCTCGCCTACGAGATCTTCGGCTCCTGTGCGGCTCTTGGACTCGCATTCTATTACTCCTGGAAATTGACTCTCGTCGTCATCTCGACATTTCCGCTTGCAGGCGTTCTACTCTTTTTTGTTTCGATGCAACTCGGTCCTGCGATCGAGGCCCAAAAGCGCGAACTTACCAAAGCATCGAAATATGCGAATACGGCCATCACAGCCATTAACACGGTCAAGGCATACAATGGGCAGGACCAGGAAGTTTGGCAGTACTGCGAAACCATCAAGAATGTTGCAATCAGCTATCTGATACAGGCGCGGTGCAATGCGTTGCAATTCGGCATCACCAAGTTCGTGATGGTTGCCCTCTTCGTTCAAGGGTTTTGGTTTGGTCTCGTGTTGGTCAAGCAGGGTGTGGATCCCGGTGGGATCCTGACGACCTTTTACTCCTGCTTGGCGGCTATGCAAGCGGTGGAAACAATTCTGCCGCAGTGGCTAGTCTTGAGGAAGGGCATGTCAGCCGGACAGACCTTGAAGGCCATCATGTCACAGATGGAGAATGGGAGAGCCGTGACACGCATGGCTGGTATCTTCAGGCCCGAGACTTGCGAAGGCGATATTGAAATCAAAGGGGTATGTTCCAAAACCTTGCAACGAGCTTTCGCTAATATACGCAGGTATCCTTTGCATATCCATCGAATCTGCAGCAAATCGTCCTGGAAAATGCTTCCTTTTTTTTCCCAGCTGGCGAAACAACTTGGATCGTAGGAGCCAGTGGTTCCGGCAAGAGCACATTAAGCAACCTGATCTTAAAATATTATGAGCCTCTACGAGGGCAAGTTCTCATCGACGGGAACTCGGTTCAAACTCTAGATTCGGACTGGCTTCGACAAAATGTTACGTTAGTCCAACAACAAAGCGTGCTCTTCAACGAGACAATCCTCCAAAACATCGAGTTCGGAAGAAGCGCGCCTGTCACCCGAGCAGATATTTTGCAAGCGACTAAGACCGCCGACCTCGAGCAAACCCTCTACAATCTCCCAGATGGTCTCAATACGGTCGTTGGATCAAATGGAAAGTCTCTGAGTGGTGGTCAGCAACAGCGAATCGCGCTCGCCAGAGCCAGACTTCGCGATTCCCCCATTGTTATTCTAGATGAGGCGACAAGCGCGTTGGATCAGACGAGCAGAGAGAAAGTCACGCAGACAGTGCGAGAGTGGCGAAAGGGCAAGACGACTATTGTGATTACGCACGACGTTACGCAAATTCTGGGTGATGAATACGTCTACGTTCTCGAGCATGGCCTGGTGGTCCAGGAAGGATATCGCAACAAGCTTGCAGAGAAGAAGCACGGCACTTTTGCATCTTTCTTGCCGGAAGCACAAGAACAAGATAATTTGCCAGTCATAACCGAGCAACGAAGGAAATCCGAGCCCACTTCGCCTACTGCTAGCTCTCCGCCCGGATACTATGATGGGAGGATCCCGCAGGAGGAGGACTACATCACGAAGATCCTTGGTATGCAACAAGGAAGTCAGGCGGCTTTTAGCCGGGGCACAGGGCCCCATGGTAGTCGACCACTGACACTCGGTGGTGGAGCGGCGCAGGCCTATGCACTTCAAGCGGACAGAGTTTGGGCAACTCCTCTGCCGCATCTCGACGACGGAGTCTTCCAGCCTTTCCAATCCAGTATGCTTCGACGGCCGTCTCTCAAGGAGTTTTTATCGCCAAAGCCTACTCAACGTAAGAAGTTCGAACCGATGCCTCCTCCACTCGCTCAAGATGCAATGCCGGTCCCAGGCCCAGAAGTTCCAGCCAAGACAAAAAAGACGAAGCGTCGTTCTAAACTTCCTGCAATCCACACCGGACTCATTGGCTCCTCTCAGCCAGTCGAACAAATCGAACTCACGACCCAGCTTCCAGTCTCAATTGCAGCTCCGAATGATGAAGAAGGCGAGAAGCCAGCATCACTGAAGCAAATATTCGGCAGCATCTGGCCGACACTCAAGTGGCGAGACCGTTTCTTTCTGGTCCTCGGATTTGCCGCTGCTTTGGTTGTTGCAGGAGGAACACCAGCCTTCGCTTACGTCTTCGCCAAACTTTTGCAGGTTTACTACCTGGTCGAAAACCGCAACGCAGAGGCTTTGAAATGGGCTCTGATACTCCTCGGTATAGCAATCACTGATGCTGCTGCGACATTCACCACCCATTATTCCCTCGAACACGCCGGGCAGGCATGGGTCAATACCCTGCGAGTTGAGGCACTGAAGCGTATAATGGCGCAGCCGCGGTCATGGTTCGACAAGGAGCGTAACTCCCCCCAAAGACTCAACGAGTGTTTGGATAGAAATGCCGAGGAGATGCGGAATCTTGTCGGTCGTTTCGCGGGACTAATCTTCACGACGTTCTGGATGATAACGATCTCTATCCTCTGGTCATTTGGCCTTGCCTGGAAACTGACTCTTGTGGCTCTCGCATGCGCGCCGGTCATGTATGCCACCACAAGGCTGTTCAACTGGACCAGTGCACGTTGGGAAAGCAAAAGCAACAAGGAATCCGACCTCGCCAGTAGCATCTTTACAGAAACCTTCGCGAATATCCGCGTTGTTCGAGCCTTGACACTGGAGAGCCACTTCAAGCGTAAGTACAATGCCGCCACAGAAGTCACATATCACACTGGTACCCTGCGCGGAGCCTACTCGGGTCTTTTGTTCGGTCTCTCCGATACACTGAGCTACCTCGTCACGGCAGTGGTATTTTACTACGGCGCCGTCCTAATAACCCAGAACGAGCGGCCCCTGTCCGCCATTCTAGAAGTCGTCAATCTGCTCCTCTTCGGCATCGCTAACGCAGTCTCAATGCTGAGCTTCGTCCCGCAAATCAACACCTCCCGCACAACAGCAACACACATGCTCTACCTTGCGAACCTACCTCTCGTCCCTTCCAGCGGCGGCCACAAACGCCTTGCAACGCCCTTCCCCATCGTCCTCAACAATCTCTCCTTCACCTACCCCACCCGCCCGCACATCAAGACCCTTGATTCCGTCTCCCTGACCTTCGCAGCCGGAACATGTACCGCCATCGTCGGGCCCTCGGGCTCCGGAAAGAGCACCATCGCATCTATCCTCCTCGGCCTCTACGCACCTGACCGCCCGCTACCCGGCCAGCCGCCTGCCTTGACATTCGGCGGCATCCCAATCGAAGAATGCAACGTCTCGTCCCTGCGCACCTACGTCTCCTTCGTCTCGCAGTCTTCCCTGCTCTTCCCATCCTCGGTGCTCGCGAACATCATCTACGGATTACCGCCCGGCTCGCCGTTCGCAAACGTACACGCTGCCGTGATGGCTGCGAGGGAGGCCGGGATCCACGATTTCATCGCGTCGCTCCCCAACGGCTACGCAACTCAGATCGGCGAGGGTGGCATGGGCCTCTCGGGCGGACAGGCGCAGCGAATCGCAATCGCCCGCGCTCTCGTGCGGAGGCCGATGCTCTTGGTCATGGACGAGGCCACCAGCGCCCTGGACGCTGTCTCGGCGGATGCCATCCGCGAGACGGTCAAGCGGCTGATGGATCGCGGCCGGGACAGCGCCGAGGGTGGGACGGCCGTGGTGCTCATCAGCCACGGGTTGGACATGATGCGGATCGCGGATGAGGTCGTGGTGGTCGAGCAGGGCCGGGTGGTGGAGAGGGGCGCGTTCGACGCTCTGAGGCAGCGTGGCGGCGCGTTTAGTCGGCTGGTTGGCTACCGGAAGGCAGCAGTGGAGGGGAGGAGGAAGCCCTTGACGCCGATTCGTGGGCGCACGAGGGAGAGTTGGGCGGCGACGAAGAGGTTCAGCTGCTGAGTAAGTGGGGTTGGGGGTCCGGGTGAGCGAACGATGGATGTTTTCTATCTACGGTGTAAGTGAAGAGCGGGAGACGGCTTTCCACCGCAGTATTCTGGTTCTGGTTCTGGTTCTGGTTTTGCTTTTTGGAGGGGGTCGATAGGCGCAAAAGAACACCAACTCTCGGAAAGTACGAGTTTCAAAGGGATGGTCACTGGTTGAGAAATTCCATTTCATATCATGTGTAATTTCATATTGATGGTTTCAAAACACACACACACACCTGTTGCTCTTCTCGCAATAATTATTCTTCGTGGCTTCTTTCTATCTCCTAGCTTCCATCGCTGGCTGGGCTGGGATGGGCTGGGTACGGGGTCGTGATTCGATTCCCTTGGCGCATCTTGATGTTTACGTGTGGGTTTTTTTTTTCTCTTTCTTTTTTTTCTTTTCTTACTTTCGCAATCCCTTGCCGCCCCTCCCTTTTCAACCTCTCTCAAAGCCGCACCTCCTCCCCATTAACCCACACCGTCAACTTGCCCGTCCCCGGATCCACCCGCGCCGCTACTTCCACCGCCACCCCCCCAAAGGCCGCCTCCAGCCCAAAAGTGATGTTATCCGCCGACACCGTCCACTGGCCCCGCATAGCGCCGTCCTCGCCGGCGCCGGGAACGCCGGCGTTGAAGCCGCCGCCGACCGTACCTGCATGAGTCAGTAAAAGGAAGAAAAAGGAAAAAAGAAAAAAAAAGAGGAAAAAAAAAAACAACAACCCCCCTCCCCCCCACACCCCTCCCGAAAAAAAAAAAAGAAGGGCAACGAACCACGCCCAAAATTAATCCCCACCCCAGCCGCGTACCCAAAGTCGAGGTTCGACGCGCCGTAGGCTAGCCGGCCGACTCGCGTCCTCTGGTTCACCTCTGCCTCCTGCGTGATAACGATTGGGCGCGATAGGTCCTGGGCGAGGATGGAGCCTGCTGCGGCGAGGAGGAGGGCGAGGGGGGTTGTTATTGATGATGATGATGATGGGCGCATTCTTGGTTCGATGATCGGAGCGGAGAGACGGAGGGACGGAGGGAGAGGAGATGGGATTCAAGTCTTGGGAGGAGATGACGAAGAGGAGGAGGAGAGAAGGCGGTGCTTGTCTGCCTGGGTGGTCTGGTTGGTGGGTGGTTCGCGTCGTCGCTGTTCTTGTCGCTGGTGCTTCTAGGAAGGAAGGTAAAGGGTAAGTAAGCAAGTAAGTAGTCGTGGATGGGTTCCTTGCCGTATGTAGAGGGAGGGCTACTTCATTCGAGGTAGATTTCCTTGATAGTATCTATATATCTATGTTCCGTAGAGTGCTTATCTAGATATGGGTTTGGCCAAGTCGGGATGTACTGTGACTTCCTACTACGGAGTACTTTGCCGAGAGCGAAAACTTGAAGATTACAGGTGGTTAGTTGCAGTAAGTGTTTTTTTTTTTTTTTTACTCTTTTTTTTTACAGGGTACGTCTTGCGGTGGGGTCCGGATCTATACCTATTCGTTCTTTTTTTCCTTTCTTCCTTTGAGCGTAAGTAGATGAGCGTAACAAGCCGAAAAAGAAAAAAAGAAAAGGAAAAGAAGAAACCCACCCCTCTCCCCCCCACACCCACCCGCCCGACGTAAATAAATACAACAACAACAACAATCCCCCCCACACCCAAAGCCAGTTGAAAAGCCAGCACTGACCGACCAAAAGCGAGAGCGAGTCTTTTCTTTCCCTTTCGAGTCCTGCAAACCAATCGAATCAACCAGGGCACCAATCTGTCCCTCATATCTAGAACATCTATTTGAGTAATCGATTGAAAAAGAGGGTTTATCTCCAGACTGACACTCCAGTGTTCATCGGGTGAGATTTTTTAATGTCCCGCCTCGTCCTTCCGAACGATAAACACGTCTCGGCTATCAAGTAAATAACGTTCTCGTCCAAGAAGTCGGAAGAATTGGTCTCTGGAATGTGAATATATATGGGATGTTGATATCTTTCGTCGACCCTGACTTCGGCTGGAGCTTGGCACTGAATTCTCCGGGATGGCTGCCATAGCAATACAACGGAACGAATATAAGATTTTCAGTCAAAGCTACAAAGCGTCAAGTTATCGCGTATGTTCTGCTGGGGGAGTGAAGCATACCTTGAAAAGAAGTGTGTCGGTTCGGGTCTTTTTCGAAGCCACAAATAACAAAACGCATACGCTGTCTGTTAGGCGACTTATAGATGCGGATTCGGCATCCGGCTTCTACCTCCCCAACACCTTCTTTCTTGTATCTTGCGATACTTACTTGCGAGTCAGTAGTCGGTCTCGTAGAAGGAATGAGATGGACTTACAGCCATTTAAAGACATTCTACCCATCTCAACATAATTACCCAAGTCCGCTATTTCGCCAGCAGTCTCCTTAGTGCTCGCATCCAGACTTTTATTTCGACTACGGTCAAGCCCCCGAGACGAGTCCCCTGGAGCTTCAACCGTCCATAGTCTCCTCAAATGCAGGTCCGCATATGCATAATTCTCCCCCGGGGTCCCATTTAACCCAAGTCGCCCAGTGGGCTGGATCAAGATATAAGCAACTTCGAAAGCTTGAGCTAGCTGTATTTGATTCTAGAGTTTGGCGAATGTCTCTTTGGAGATGCCCTTTATCCGGTCGAAGGAAGTGGCCGGTGGCCTGGACGTAGGCTTGGCGCGAAGACCATCCGTGTGCACAACCAGAGAGCTGCCACCTACAAGGAACCAAATCATGTCCATGATAATGAAACCAAGTGACTGGCTAGATACTTGATCTTCTCATAATTCAGGAAAGCACTTACTTGTCCGGTCCGTTGCCATTTGTGCTGTGGTAGCAAATGTAAGTTGCCCGATCATCATATCTCGAATTTCCTCGTCGAAGGCATCAGTAGGGAATGAAAGCTTCCTGGTGAGCTCTAGTATTTCAGTCAAGATCCATGCTCTTTCCGCTTCCTGTGGTATGTCTTCTTTCCTTGATGATCTCAGGTATCGCATTATGCCGACTCCGAAAAAGAGCCCTTTAAGTTGGAGAAGGATTCTGGCGTCGACGAGTGCGATGCGAGCCAAGCCGACCAGTTGCGTTTCAGACTTACATTCCTCAAATGCATCATCGTCGATATCTACAGAGAGCAGCAAGATGATCAGGAACGGCTTTTCGGCGAGGATACACGTGGCCAGTAGCCGCAATGAGTCCCCAACCCCGTCCAATTGCAATTCTCCACCTCGGTTGGATGAAGAAGTCGCCAGTCCCCGAGCTGGTATGCAAATCTCACACGAGCAGTTAAACATGGCTCTTAAAGATTCTTCGTCGAGAATCACACTGATCTCGTTGTCTAATTTCTGTATCCAGTCCTTGTCATGGAAGTGGCGTTCTAAAAGCATTTCGAGTTTAGCTTTTAGTCGATCGGCTTGATAAGCGACAGATATCTGGCTATTTATTGGTGGCGGCTTTCCCTGCCATGTCCTCTCGGAGCCTTTGGGTTTGGCAATCGCTCTGTCGGCCAAACTCGAATGTGTAATTTCAGGAATCGAGGTCCTCCTAGTGACATCCTCAGGGCCCTTGCCTTTGTCGGAGTCACTAACTGCTATCTCAGGTCGTATAATCCTGTCAGGGTAGCTTATGGAACTTGGGCTCTCATTAGAAGTTCTGGATGGGCTTGGCGTCGGTAGATCGGATGGGCCAGACGAGCGTCCGGCATCATTGGCTTGCAGGATCTTCTGCCGATGCTCCCAGTAGTTACTCTTCTTTCGAAAGACAGCTTGGGATTGCAGTACCTGACGAACCATAACATCCAGACTCTGCAGTACTGGATCGATCTCGCTGATGGTCCTAGAAACGTGACGACCAGGCACTTGTAATCTTTGAGCTATCAGGTCCCTAGTGGAAATATGTTAGTGGAAAGAGTAGAGAAGTAAACGAAGGGGCTTTCTGACCTCGAAGACGTATCATCAACATACCGCAAGACCCCGAATACGGCACTCAAACCATCTGACACTCTCCCTGCCAGCTCCAGAATCTTCAACAGTCGTTCCTTGACTAGGCCAAAGCACCAATTCGCATCGTCTGAGAAGGCACCCGGAAAAGGCTCTTCTCCCAGAGTCCCAGTCTTCGCGTCAACATCAGAGGACCACGTCTCAAAGCGCAGCATCTGATCTTCCAAATTCGCGGCAATGGAATTCAGCAGGGAACCAGCCCCAACATTTCCATCTCTAGCATATTCAAGCACAGCCGCCAGCTGTCGTTCTAGGACCTCCAGACAGGGCAAACAAAAGTGAAGGAATGTCAAGACGTACTTGGTTTATAAATCCATCTGTGTTTCTAGCCGCTGACCGATATTCGATTTTTTCAAAACTCTTTCCCATATTCGAGTCGTGGCAAGAAAACTGGTTTCGGGACCTTTTCCCTCTTCAATTCCAAATGTTACGCCATTTCTCATTTTTACGCCAGAATGGTTTTCCATCATCGTCGCGATAAAGACGGAAAAGTTGTTGCGAGTGCCCGCATATGTGTCACCTTGCCCTTCGCTGGCGTCGAATAGAGCTTGTTCTGTAATCGGTCACGGCAGACTGCTGTGCCTTGTGCATGCCACGATTGCGACCAGTCAATCGTACCGAACAGGAGAGAATACTAAGCATAGAATATACAGACGGTATGCAGAGAACTGTTCCATGCACACAAGCACTACATTGCGCAAACTGGTGGGGTAAGCGACGAGCGGAATCAATACCATATCTTGTAAATGTTCAAAAGCCGTTGGCTGTTGTAAGAGACCTGTACATATACACAGGAGTTCGACGGAGTCCATATTCCGTGGCTCCGTGGTGATCTGAGTGCCGTGCCCTCTGCGGACAAGTGGCAATGATTCTGTTCACTGAAAATGAAGAAGGGGCACGCAAATACGAGTGTAAAGAAGCCAAGGACTCGATGATCGAAAAGTGTCCGAGAGCCTCGAGAGCACGACAATAGCAGGAACCCAGGGACAAAACTTAAGGAAGAACAAATAGATGGATAGCGCGGATGAGAAAGAAGGAAGACGGGTTGCTGAGCAGACATAGTGCAGAAGCACAAATGCATAGATGTCAGAACTGGTTTTGCATGCCCTTTATGATCAATTGCTCTTTCAGCGGCAATGCCAAAGGTGTTAAGTACACAGCACCTTGGTTTCTCTGACAGGGTACACGTGACTGTAAATATCGGAGGTATGACTTGGATCGAGAGCTGTATCAGAGTCTTTTGATATCCTCACCTACCCAATCGTTTGTTCCTGTCATTTTTGCTAATTTGAATAAGAAAATCTAACTTGGCAGATCGGGGCACGGGGGTCGGGATATAAGGAGTCACGTGGAATATAATGCTCGGTATTTACCCAAGGCTTCCAGAGAAGAAAAGATCTACAGAGACTTAGTATTATTGAGCACTGAGGTATGAATTCTAGCTTTTATAAAGATCTAACTGTTTCTATATTCTGCAGACGTCGATTTCTCGACTTCTATACCTTTCTATTATATTGCCTCTTAGCGTGTGACTAGCGAGTCTTGCCATGAACTCAATCCGAGCCTCACCTCTCTTGCAACCTCATCCTCTTGAATCTTCTAAACACATATGCATGCATTCAGCTCACCCGCGATACCCAATCATGCTCCTATGTGTCCAATACGCCTTGATTATTCCATCATTGCAGATATTGGCGATCGACCTGGATCCAGGCTTCGATAAAAGACATCTTTCGTATTAAGATAGGCGTGGGAATGCCGTCGCCAGGGATTCGCAGATCTACGTGCAATGTGACGTGCGTTGATGACCCTTGATACTCTTTCAGGGAGATTATATTATCCTACTCGAAGAATTTATGCTAACTATTCGTTCTAGTTCTAGATTTGACGTCCTCTGCAGTGACGAAAAATGGGTTGCGTATTTACAGGTTGAAACAGCCAGGCAGAGGACCAGCCAATTCCAATAGCAAGAGGTGGTATTCACTCGAATCCAGACGACGAGAATCGTTGATGTTTCCCTGTTCATTGCTGGAAATCCATGTACAGACTAAGCCTCTAGCAGAAGTACGCCCGACTTCCCAGCCATTGTCCAAGTAAGCCGAGATTCGCATGTGCAGCGTCTGTCTGGTCCAAGGATGCGCCAAAGGCCAGGCCCGATGCGAATGTTAAACTTTCCCGAAGCCATCATGGGAGTTGAAGGCAGTATTCTTCTTGTCCTTCGGCAAATCCGATAGCGTCGCGAACCTGGTCACGAACCGGAATTCATCGGGGTGCACCTACCGACGACCTGCTGCTCTGGTCTACCACCCAAAAGGCAACCGGGCAACAGGGCAATAGGAAGTGCTATTTAATACTCCCACTATTATTTCTTCACCATTGCGGCCGATCATTTCAGATGCATCCACGCCAAGATACGATTACTGGGTCCGCAGAAGACCACCAGACTGCTAAACAAAAGCAAATATATCACCCGGCCTCGCGGGCAGCGATTCGCCTGATACTTGGTCGGTGAAAAAGTATCCTCGTGGCTCACAGATGGAACTTGTTTGTTGGCTCGCTAATTCGGGGGATAAAGTGTGCAGAAGACGAGGGGAGGCCCTGGGGTTCAGGACCCCTCGATTTCTCGACTCTCGACGCTACTCATTCCACATGATCAGACCAACTGCTCGCACAACGCAATGATCATTGAATCATTGATCACTGATTATTGTTCATAGCCAGACCTCTGCTCGGCATACTCGGGTCCATGAAGAAAAGGACATCGATATTGCTTGACCACTTTCTTTCGGGTCTTCGGTCTGCACTCGACCGAGTTACGGTCAGTATCTCTTTCAATACAACATGATCTCCAAATGACCTTCACACGCCAGCAACACCTCGGAGCCACCCCGTTTCGTCTTCCAAGGCCGCCGTTAAGCTTAAAACGCCAACTCTACACCGCCCTTCGTTCCCCGGATTTAGACACGGGAAGCTAGCATGTTGCTAATCCCCTTCATGACGAAACTATCCGAAGGGTCAGACACGAGACACGCTTACCACGCACGACTCCTCCTATTTCGCGTCTCCCATGCGATTTCAAAGTGACAGAACAACGTCGTTGACAAATTATGATTGCCTTCCATAACGAAACGGACCAACAGAGAGAGGATCATCACAAGCTGCAGCATGACATCCATCTTGGAAGTTGAATTTTTCTCGATGCTGTCGTCTGATGTAATGGGGACGTGCTGGATATCTTCTCTCCATTGCAGCTAAGATGTCCACAATATTGTGGATGGGAACGAGAGCGCACTGGCATCATCTGACGGCAGGGCCAGTTGGCCAGTTGTTATTAGCTCATCGTAATCCTACTTGCAAGTCAGAAGAGAAATAAAATGTCAGGCTGGGAACATGTCTGGAGAGGGAACTCCTGGTTCATTCCCTTCCATCAGGCGCACACTGTTCCTTCTCTTCACTCCTTGTCGATATGCTATACCTTTGAACAGAACCTAAGATATGTATGTATCTACCTTCCCGTTGACAGGATCTTCTGGAACGGCAGAATGAAATTTAGCACGAGAACCTATTTTGCTTATTTCCCTACTGACCCTTGCTTAGTTTTAGCCACCATGTTTTCATGCGCAGTCTTCATTGCTCTCGGAGCTATCCTCTCCCAACAGAAATCTGTAGTCGTTGCCGCCACGTGTTGGAGAAACACACCTTGCACAGGACCAGCAACTGCAGCGTTTGCTGGAGACTGGGATCAGTACAATTTTGCCCCCGCAAGCAGAACCGTGTCTCCGATCAGTTTCTACTCTCCCACGGGCGGTGCCTCAGCAAAATTTCCAGGGGCAGCTGCATTAAAGGGTAACAACGCTCAACTAATTTTCGACTTTGGCAAGGAGGTGGGAGGTATTGTCACGGTAACCTACAGCGCAACTGGATCCGGAAAACTTGGTCTGGCTTTTACCGAGGCCAGAAATTGGACAGGCGAGGCATCAGACAGCTCCAACGGATCCTTCAATCCGGATGGAGCGCTCTTCGCTACAGTCACGACGACCGCTGAATCGAATTACACCATGCCTGATGCGAAGCTTCGTGGTGGCTTCAGATACTTGACTTTGTTTACGCAGACCTCCAGCTCAATCAATGTCAACATTCGTGACATATCCGTCGAGCTTGCTATTCAACCAAACTGGAGCAATCTACGAGCCTATCAGGGCTATTTTTCGTGCAGTGACCCACTTCTCACCAAGATTTGGTACGCCGGAGCCTACACGTTGCAGACCAATGCCATCCCTCCACATACTGGCCGCCAATTTCCTATTCTAGGCTCAAGCTGGAGCAATGACTTTGACTTATCACTCGGTACAACGGGTGGGACAGGTACGTACAATCCTTCATTCGTCTCTACCAAGCTTCTGGAATCTTCGGCTCCCAAGAAAACTCCCCAAGTATCACTTAACACAGCGCTAACTGCTATGGAGTCTATGTCGATGGCAGCAAACGGGACCGCACTGTTTGGCCGGGCGACCTTGGCATTGCAGTTCCGAGCATTCTCGTCAGTACGGGGGATTGGAATGGAATAGCAAACACACTACAGATCATTTACAACGATCAAGTGAGTGCATCATCTGACACTTAACGCAGTTTTAGCTTACACGTGCATAGACCAGTGCTGGCGAATTTCCTTTCGCTGGTCCCGGGATCAACATTTACGAATCGGACACATACCACATGGCGACTCTGATAGGAAGCTACGACTACTTCCTGTGGACCAATGACCAGAAATGGTTGAGCAACTTCTATCCCAAGTACCAGAAAGCCATGGCTTTCATCACTGGGAAGATTGACAGCACGGGGCTTTTGTTTGTAACCGGGACGAATGATTGGGGTCGCTTGTCTCAAGGAGGCCATAACACGGAAGCGAACATGCTGCTGTACAAGGTCCTCACATCCGGAAGTCAAATTGCGACGTGGGCCGGAGACTCGGCGTCCTCGACTAGATGGGCAAGGGAGGCTGCAACTTTAAAGACCGCTGTCAACAGGTTGAACTTTGATGCTGCTGCTGGGTAAGGCCTATCTACTTTATTTCAGCCCCCGCTTCGATGTTATCTCCCTCGCTAAAGCTATTGCTCCTTAATTTCGCTTTCCGAGCCCAACTTCTAATATTCTGCCAGTGCATTTAGAGACAGCGACACCGATGGCTCCATTCACCCGCAGGATGGAAACGCCCTGGCCCTCTTGTACTCCATCCCAGCCGCCGCTGGCATGGCCTCCATCTCGACAGCGCTTACGAAAAACTGGATCAGCATCGGCGCGCTCGCGCCCGAGCTCCCCAACAACCTCGTCGGCCTCGGCCAATCCCTCGAGGTCAAAGGCCACCTCGTCGCCAAGCAGACCGGCCGCGCGCTCGACCTCATCCGCCGCGCCTGGGGCTGGTACCTCGCCCACCCGTCCGGCACAGCCAGCACCTGCATCGAGGGCTACCTGTCCGACGGCACCTTCGGCTACCGGGCCGCGTACGGCTACGCGAACGACTACAGCTACACCAGCCACGCCCATGGCTGGAGCACGGGCCCGACGGACGCGCTGACGAGCTTCATCCTCGGCCTGACCGTCACGGCGCCCGGCGGCAGCCAGTGGAGCCTCGCGCCGCAGTTCGGCGACCTGACGCTCGCCGAGGGCGGCTTCACCACGCCGCTGGGGAGGTTCAGCGCGAAGTGGGCCCTGGTCCCGGGCGGGTACACTGTGGCCTGGGGCGCGCCGCCGGGGACCAAGGGGAATCTCGTGCTCCCGGGGAGCAACAGCAACAGCAACGTCATCAGCCGGAGGCCTCGTGGGATCAGTGTCGATGGGAAGATGAGAGCGGTGCAAGCGCACGAGCTGAATACGGCAACGGGGCTAGTGACGATTGCTGTTCCGGGCGGGAATCACAGCGTAACGGTCACCTACTGATAAGGTTGGCTACCTTTCTCTGCCG